CAACAGCAACTTCTGAACAATCTCTATCAAGTGGAATTCACTCCACTCTCTTGAGTGAAATAAATTGTACTGGTGATGTGAAGCCAAGCCCGCTAACAGGAACTAGTGATCCCACACTAAGCAATGGACCCATGTCAATGTACACAGGATTTCCAAGTTCAGCTGCCGGTGCAGCGAGTGGAATATCAACCATTTCTCCCTTCTCACCCCCAAGTCATTACGTTATGTCGCCAACACAAAAATCGCCCTTTCACACGACCGCATCTCAACTCTCCCCAAGTCTTACTCAACCTTTGTCTATCATCAACCCAAGCTGTTTATCGCCAAGTTCAGGCCTACAGGGAGGGCAGTCCGCTTTCTCTCCTGCGTCTCTTATTCCAACGGATCTCTTATCTCCATCAAAACAACTCGCAGTCATCTCACCTAGCTCATCATCCAAATCACCGTTCAACCTCAGTTCAGGGGCGATAATTTGGCTATTCCTAAATTGAACTTGCTGTGTGATTCCAATGCGTTACCACACCCTCCAGATACTCCACTTCCTCCTCTTCCTACAGACAAGTTGTCACCACAGACACCAAGTATTTATGTAAGCATGTTTCCCATGTCGCTAAAATTTAATGACGTAAAGTTCATGTTTAAGAGACAGGTATCTCTATATGACCAAGTGTTTGTACATGAAGGTACACTTCGCTTTTATAATAATTCACTTGCACAATGTCTAGCTTTTTGAATGTAACGTTTATCTTCAAAAGATTCTCTAGTTCTTCCTTGTTAGACTTTTTCAGTTGTGTTAATTCTTATATTATTTCCCGTGTAGGTTGAAAATAAGAAGGATGCATTTTCACCAGCACTTCAAAACTTGGTGCTAAGTAATTCCAATCCCATCCTAGTGATCAGAGGGCTAGCAGCAGCACTTAGATTAGGTTTGTATCACCGTCACTGAACATTTTATACACACCCATCTGTTGTGCAGCAACTGGCAACTAAAGTATGTTCACAGATCACTCAAAAAAATTTTCAACGGATATTCCTGTAGACTACGAGCAGGCCTTCTTCTCCGACGTAGTCTGTCGCGTGAGTCGAAAAAACAAAAAAAAGAAAACACAGAACTCCCGTTGAGAATGACTGTACAACTTGATGCTTAACACTATCCTAACGCTAACACTAAAACAGTCTGTGAATTCTTTTGCAGATCTTAGTTTGTTTTCAACCAAGACTCTTGTTGAAACAAATGGCGAACACCAAGTGGAAGTGAGGACACAGGTATAACTTATTTTAGCTGAAAACTCAGTTTCACAGTTCTGAATGGAGAGAAACTGTTTCTGCCTACAGAGAAATTTTCAATTGAGTTTCGAAAGTAATCTGGGATTGCATTGATTTTGCGTTGCTTTGCTTTTTGATTGGTCCAGAAAACTCGCGCCTCTCTCTCAACCAATCAGATGCAGAACTAACACCAATCGCGACTTGGTCACCCGCGTTTTCCCGCGCGTTAGGTTTGAGTTCTCATTAGCTCTTCAGGATATTTTCCTTTCTTCTAACTGTCTGTTGTTATTATGTCGCTGATGGTTGTATGACGCTCAACTCTACTAACAAGCGCTCTAGTATCTAGGTTGTCTTAAGCCACTTTGCAAGTATCTTAATCTCGAACCTTTTGGGCTGGTTATTTATACGAGGTCTAACCGAAACCGTGACTAAACGCAAGTAGTGGGCCTCAGAGATTCTCTATAAGAGGGTTGATTTAATAAAATAATTGTCCTTCCTCTATAAGCTTTTCGGCCCTCTTGACATTGTCCACAAAAATTAATCTTTAGATAAAAGGTTCGGTTAAATTGAAGATAGTTTAGAACGCGGTTTTGTTAAACAACGGCTAAACTTTGTTTAAATAACCCGCTCCTTAGGTTCAGGAAGACTATTGTCAGGCTAGGTGAATGCTTAAGATTGATGACAAATGCGCTGATTATCTTGTCTTCGCTTTCAGAGACTTCAAGCGTCAGATGAAAACTGGGATGCTGCTGGTGAAAAGAAAGTCTGGCTGTGCGAGAGCAGCAGGTAAGTAATGTGATGGTTTTATGTTTTTGCTCAAAGTTGGTAGTTTCGCAAGTAAGAGGTTGAGCCTTGACGACAAGTAGGGTGAATAAAGGGGTAAGTTTCTAAAAGAAACTGTGGTGCTGCTTCGGTGGGAGAATATAACAAGGTAATCTTGTATTTACCAACTGAGTTGATAGCGTCAATTGGCCACCGTGAAGAGTTTAAAGCCGACGTTTCGAGCGTTAGCCCTTTGTCAGAGCGATTGACCAGGGCTTATGCTCGAAACGTCAGCTTTTAAACTCTTTACGGTGGCCAATTTAATTAAGGTAGATATCTCTTTATGGAATCAGCAAGGTTTTTATGAATGAATGGTTGTTTACTTTTAACACTTAAAATGATAACAGGTATCGATAGAAATGTCACCAACAGGAGATTTGTTGAAACCCCCTGGCTTTGGAAAAAATTTTATCTGGATGACCTTTTACTTTGAAGGCATGGGTTATCACTGACACAAAACAATGACGCGGCTATCTGTGGTGTATTTGTTTCACAGGTCGTATACAACCATTGCAAAGTATGCCCAATATCAGGCGAACTCATTTCAAGAGTCTTTGAAGGTAACCTCTGAAGAGAAGTGATGGTAGGGCCGTTTATACGAGGGGAAAATAAAACGTGGCTTGTAGAAGATGCGAAGTCATCGTATTAATGCTTCATTTACACTTCAATTAGCCGTGGTTCATGTAAGGCGAGGGGTTTGAGCACGTCTTAAATAAGCCGCGGCTTGAAGAAGATGCGAAATCACCGGCGTGAATGGCATTGCAGCTTACGTAAGACGCGAACTTAAACTGCGCAAGCGCAATTTTTCCCACGCATACGACCGCTCCCACAACTGTATCAAAAATAAGACGAGAATCATCAATACGAGCGCTTTATGTCTTATTTACGCCGTGTTCGTATAGATGGCCCGGTTCGCCTCTCATGTAAGCCGCGTATTATTTTCCTCGTATAAACGGCCCTAGTGTAGACGTAGATTTTTACATTCGGATTTTGGAATAACAATGTACAGTAATAGTCATGAAACAAGTGAATTTACATACAAACCCTTTGCGATCATAATCTGAGTAAATTTGAAGTGTTTATTATGTTTGGTTACTTCAGGAAGAGCAGGGATAGACAAGCGGGCATCAAAGAACCATCGCAATCAGACAGCGATTCATCGTCAAGCTCCAAGAAGTGAGTTCTGATTTTACTTATATAACAAGTCTGAGTTAGTTCCTTCCGTTTTCAAATCAGATAAAATAATACTATATCATGCCCTCTCAGTTGCATCATATTATATCTGTCAGTCGATGAGTGCGCTATTATTGGTCAGTTTAGTGGGCCATAATTCATTGTACGGCCCGCCAAATTAAACAAATTAATTTGAATTGAAATCTTGCTCTTTATTTGAACCCAAGGACATGATAAATATCTTACTAACCTCGTTTTATAGGTCCGTGCTGTGAGTTGCAGAACCTGTTTTTTTTTTCGTTCGGATTTTTAGCGCGCATCGCGCTAGGGCCATCAATCTGAGCGGAAATACTCGGTCCTTAACTTACGGTTCGGATCTCGAACTTTGTTAGTGAGAGGTTTTGTTTATATATAATGTACTGATCCTAGTGTAAGCTCATTGGGGTCTTTCTGTTTGCCTCCAACAGTGGCAGGAAAGGCAAAGGAAAGAAATTCAAGTGGATTAAATTTGGAACTAATGTTGATCTTTCTGATGAGAGAAAGTAAGTTTTAGAGATACCGTTAGTAAATTTTACAAAAGGTTTTCTTCTTAGACTTGTGTTTTACAGGAAATGAATATTTACTCCATTTGTTTGAAATGTGCTTGACTTGCTTTGCTTTGTTCTCTTCAGATGGAAAACGCAACTACAGGAACTTACTAAACTTCCACCATTTGCCAAGGTCAGCATTACCATGTTACACCAAATTTTTTTCGTCCTTGAATACAAACACCTTGCGAACCTAAGCCTGTACAAGGCATTTAGTTAATAAAACGGAGCGAATTGGCAAACGGCGCGGTAAAAGGAGCGGAGCGGAAAAAAAAAACGAGGGAAGTCTGGGTCTGGTCCCGCACCCGACCCAAACCTCCCTCGGTTTTTTCACTCCGCTATTATCGCGCTTCTTGTTACTAACTGAACGCCTAGAATAGGCTATATGAAAATAGAAGTAGTCTGCACATTGTGACAATCTTCAACGTTCTTTATTTTATCGGCAATCGTCTAGGAAGTCTACTGATTGTAACCTTTCTATGATCAGGTGGTGAGTCCTGGCAACATGCTAAGCCATATTGGTCACACAATCCTTGGCATGAACTCAGTGCAGTTGTACATGAAGATACCAGGATGTAGGACACCAGGTATTTATCCGTTCGAACACACTTTGGCTACTAGTTTCCTTAAAAAAGTTATGTCTAGTTTGCAAGGAAAAAAAAAGGATTATTAAGGATTAGTGTTTTTTAGTGCATCTTTTCGATATTCTCTTATCTTTGCGCTTATCTGGAGGGTGAAAGCAAAAAAAAAAAAAAAAAAAAAAAAAACATATTATAAATTGTGGTAGACCTAAACTGGTGGAAGAACAATCACCTGCGTTCTTTCCAAGCATAGTAGAGGGGCGAATCCACGGCTTAAATTGGGTGATAGTGCGGGAGCATTTAAATCAGCGAACTCTAAAACCCTGTGCTCTGATTCCCTTGGCTGTACTGCCAACTTTTTTATTTTTAGAAAAGGATCAAATAAGGCAATATTTTGTAGTGTTAAACACTCCAGTGGTACATTTTATATGACATTTCCGAAAAGATTGTATTATTATTGCTTCATACAATGATAAGCTACTTTTGTGTCTTTTGATTGTGTTTCTAGGTCATCAAAAGAAAACAATAATTTCTATGCGATAAATATTAACATTGGACCGGGAGACTCGGAATGGTTTGCAACCCAACAGAATATTGGGGCGTTTTACACAACTTGTGTGAAAAGTAAGTAACTCGATCCAAAATGATACAATAAATTATTTAAACCCGAAGGTAACATAGTCCCGAGGAGGAGTGTTGTTGCTAGTAGTAACTGACATTTCGACAACCATGGCGGAAGTCATCGTCAGACTCATATTGGAGACAACTTTTCTAATTGTAACTTTTTTGATTTTATTTTGCAGGAATAATGTCAATTTTCTAACAGGTAAGGAGCCTTTCACTACAGCGACTTATCACTTCTTTAGTCTCTCTAAACCAAGCTCCACACACCTCCCCTTCTTGGCAAGCCCTCTCCCCTACCCCAGTCCTCCCTCTACAACCTTCCAGCTCCAATTCTCATTTGTGTTCTCAAACACTGAGACAGCGATGGACGACTTGTAGCTAGAAATACTGGCACTATTTTTGATTGCTGGTGTCTCCTTCAACCAATCCGTCTATCTTTAAAATGGGAACTTCCTACATTCGTGCTAGTTGATTCGTCCACTAAGGTGCCTGAATTGTTTTGCTTTCTTCAATTGTTTGTAAAAGGCTCCTGGTGGCCCATTCTTGAGGAACTTTACGAGGAGCGTGTGCCAGTGTACAGATTTATTCAAAGGCCTGGTGACCTAGTCTGGCTCAGTCCTGGGGTAGTACATTGGGTACAGTCGTCGGTGAGCAGTTATCTTTTTATACTCTTAAGATCTCATTAGTAGTTCTCTTTTCTGTTTGCCATACAGTTCTTGTTCTGTTAGGTTGGAGAATTTGGTGTTGGATCAACCGATGATCCCCTTATTGACATTTTTCTTTATTCTCATCACTTGTCTGCGTGATATTGTAGAGCTATTGTAAGGAGAAATTCTGTCTTGGTCACTCCATAGGAGTAAGGATGAAACTGTGTAATTTGAAATTACAGAAGTGCTAGTTATGTTTCTCTCATTTTTGGTGATGAAAGTTGTGATAAAATTTACTTGTATTTTAGGGTTGGTGTAACAATATTGCCTGGAATGTCGGTCCTCTTACAGGTGAGTGTAGGTAGAGATTCCACGCAATTTATTTGGACGTATTCGTGACGTTCCAGTCATATTTCATCACTGCTACCTTTTTTATCTGGAACGCTTCATATCTCTAATATTAAAATGATCATTTTGCAGAGGACATGTACACAGCAGCTATAGAAAGATATGAATGGAACAAACTACAAGGTGAGAAATTGATTAACTACAGTAGAGCGGTTTACAAACATCTCAAGGTGTTTTTCTTTTGTCACCCATGTTTCACGTGGAGTAGTGCAGTTAGGCAGTGGCTGTATTAAGTATATTTTAGGATACTGACAGCAGATCACATCGCTTTTACTTTGATTTACTAACCGTTTGATTACTTTCCTTCTCAATAACGCTGTTGTTTTGGTTCAAAAGCCCCACAAATTTCTTATGAATGATGATCGAGGAGTGATCAGTTTATCAAGGCATACTATTTGACAAAGCTAGGAAGAAGGCGCTTTGCTCCTTCAACTTTAGGTTTTTTACGGTCCAGGTCCCGGTTGTTCGAAGGTTGGATAACGCTATCTGCTGGATAAATCTCAATCCGGTGGATAGTATAGTATGTTTTTCGATCATTTATCCGCTTATCCGTTGGATAACGTTATCCAACCTTTATACAACTGGACCCAGCTGTCTAGTTCAATGCGGCCGATTTGAACTGTTATTTATGAAATTCCCTGCAATTTCAACTTCAGGTGAGAAGTCCATTGTGGCCATGCTACACTTGTCGTGGAACCTCGCAAGAAATGTGAAAGTCACCGAAAGGAAGTTGTTTGAACATATTAGGTGAGTCTGCGCGAAAATTGTGCTCTTGTTCCTCTCCTCCTCAGATGATTGTTAATCCATTAACGAAGGCGTACTTTCATTGAATTGTTCCTGGAAATCCGTGCGGTTAGACTGTCTCTCTCCCCTTTCTCTGCTAGTTGTAATCTCGCAAGTGTTGCGTTTGATTTCAGAGTTGTGCTGGCCAGGTCACTCAAGTATTGTCAGATTACTGTGGAGAAACTAAAGCATGCTGGGATTGAGGTGATGTGGCATGGGAAAAAACACAATGAAGGATCTCATTACTGTTTTCAGTGCGAGGTGAGCAGCTCTTCTGTTGGACTACATGTTGTGTTGAGTTCTTCCTTGTACATTTTTTTTTTCGACATATGGGAAGCGTTACAACACATTTTAAGTAGAGTTTAGGGCCTTGGAAGTGGCGAATCGCGCTTACTAGCTGATGTGTAACAAGCTGTGCAAATCTCGAGTTGAATTTTACAACCCCTGATGATCAAATTTGTCGAAAAACCATAAAAGAAGAGTAGAGAGACTGGTAGCTAGAGTTCGTTGCACGTCGGATGATTAGCTCTGTGAGTTTTAAGCCCAAATTCCAATTTCCATTTCGCTTTTTGCAGTTTTTTCGGTTTTCTTTTGAGTCCTTATTGGCCTCTCATGACGTGTTCCCTTGATCGTGCATGTTCTACAAACACCACGCTATCGACATTGCTGATCCTAGCAGTATGCAGGACGCGTGTCATATGAACTTCGTAATAGACCTCGCTCACCGTAGTCTCTGTAGCTCAGTGGTAGAGCATCGGAGCGTGGAATCAGAAGGTCTGAGGTTCGATTCCTCATTGGAACTCAGAATATTTTCTTTGTCCCACGCTCGTGACAAGACGAAAACATCTTTCTTTATTTCTTTGGATCTGTTTGTACGATCCTGTCGAGAAGCACTGTGACCTGCTTACAAACTCGTGCTTCTCTTTTGCTTCCTAGGTGGAGGTTTTCAATATTCTGTTTGTCACAGACAACAAGAAACACGTCGTGTATTGTCAAGATTGCGCCAGAAAGACCAGCAGTAATCTTGCTGGATTTATAGTCCTCAATCAGGTAAAAACCTTTCTCGTTACTGAAACACAGCCACTAACTTTTGATCAATCATCGGTATTTTAGACACTAGTGGTACTTGTCTGTGTGGAGTCCGTTTGAGAGCCGTCAAAAGTTGTGTGTACACGTAAAGTAGTGCGTGTATCTTTAGTTAACCCTTTACACCCTAACATCAGTATGCATATTCTCCCTATTGTTCTCTACACATTTCCTAAGGTGTAACAAGGAGAATTTGCTTAATAGTGAGGAGCTTCTTTAGTTGGTAATCATTTCCTTTATTCTCATGATCTAAATGTGTGATTCAGAGGTGATATTGTAAACAGAAAGTAGATGCTTGTCACCCTTAGGGGTTGAAGGGTTAAGGAAAATTATTTTCAGCTTTTTTCGTTATTAACTCGCACGAATTTTCCCTTTTTTCAGTACACGCTTGAGGAGCTGACTGAAGTGTATAATAATTTTAAATTACATGCGGTAAGCGAAAGTTCTTATTCACGTATCTGAGATCTGTATTTTGCTGCTCAATACAAGCACATTGAGTTGGTGATTGTTGACGAGTCGACGTAGTTAAGCAGCCTTAATGATTTGTCAGCATTTTGTTATAATATATTCACAATTTTATCCTCTCCGCTGTTTTCTCAGGTGACTCCCCGAGCTGTGGAAGCCGTACTAGCCCAGAATCCCTCGCAGCCTTTAGGCGTGGTCGCCCAGGGTGTGAGCAATTTAGCGTAGTTAACATTTTTGATACTGTTGCGTTTTCTGTTTTTGTACAAAAGAGAGGTATATTTTCTATAATGAACAAAGCGTTAAATTCAAGCAACGATCGAATTCTCATGCGAGCTGTATGATATTTAATTTAGGTAATGGAAGATTATATTTGAATTTTTCTGCCGGCGTAGCGCCGCGTCAAGTACAACGTAGTCTGAAAATTCAGCATTTTCCTCTCTCCGTTGACAATGATACTTTCCACTTCAATTCGATTCTCATCGAAATATCTCAGAGGTTTAATATAACATTTTTTCTTTTGTGTATTTTGCCCTTTCTCTTGTTAAGTTCGATGATGCGTCATCTGTGTATGATCATTTCGATCTTAATCAGCTCAGACTGTTGCGTGACCATCCAAGACATTTTTGGAGGTCACGCAAAAATCGTTTTCGTCACGTTATGAACACGTTGCACGACTGCGTCAAGGATCGCTCGTTTTTCTAAGTTAAGTATTATTTTTTTTTTTTAATTCAGTCTTACCTAATCTTTCTCTATTTGATTCATTTTTTTTTTATCAAATACCTGGAAAGAAATTTTTTACACTTATTGCATGAGATTTCAAAGAATTCTTGGGAACAACTAATTATTAAAATTATAATCCGACTTCAATTCTGGGAGTGAGAATATTCACCCCACTTCCCTCCCTTGCCTTTTCGCCTGTAAATTGTATTTTTGGCCGGGCTTAAATAAGCCACCATCCGTTGAAACTATCATGAATCGCGAGGATAATTTTAGCGGTACTCTGCTCGTCTTGTTATACACAACAATCTCGTCTGTAAATACTTGCCGTATTGTAAACGCTGTCTTTGATATTGCAGTGTGATTCTTCGTCAATTTGTTTGCAGCAGGCTAAGAAACAGCATCATCGTACTTTGCATAACTGGGTTTTTTTTTCACTGGGACAAAATAAACTGGTTAACCCTTTAATTCGCTGTGGTCAGAATGTCAATTCCTCTTAAGTTTTTCCATACACTGTCAAGCAGATAGCTTCTGTGAGCTGAGAAAGTTATCAGCTCAGGGAGACTGATTGGATGTAACACCAAATTCTCGAAAGTAATCAACTAAGAAAGATACGGGAATCACCAGGGAGAATTTAGTTATCGATCACGGGAGTGAGAGGGTTAATGTTACCTACTTAAAAGTTCACGATCCCGCAGCGCAGCATTTAAATATTTAATTTTGATTTCCAACGCTAATTTAAGTAAAAATAGTTAGAGTGTAACAAGAGTGATAGTTTTATGACACTGCAACGCGTTGTATTCTGTTGAATTGGAAGCACTGCTTTGAACAGTGAAACGATTATTTGTAAATTGTTTTATAGAATCAACCGTTTTTTGCCAAGTAGCGCGCTTTTTGCGGCGCACAATCGCTATGGTTTTTTTCGCTGGCTAGAAACACAGCACCCAACCGCCATAAAAACCGCATCACTCTTCATTCACAATTCAGGTTCATTTCTTCAGCACAAATGGAGACGGAGATCCGTTTCCCTGTTAGTTAATCATTAGCTTAGGTGAGAAAATACTGTTCCTAGTTATAACTTAAAACCATGAGTTTTGTTTGTCGTTCTTACCACACGTTAACGCACTTTTTATTCAGTGAATATTCGTTCTGTATCTCTGGTTAATATGCGTCTACACTTTTTAAGTCATCTTTGTTAAACGTTGTTAATTTGGCAGCATTCACATATGTTTCCCAACGCTCACCGGAATTTGTGATGTTAAATTAATGTAAATTTTTGTCTTGCAATTTCATGTTCCCTTTCCTGACCTCGTCAAAAGAATTTTAGCCGATGGACGCTGGGAATGATAGGCACTGCTAATGATGAGGAATTTTTGTTTGGCTTTTGTTACGTTTTCGTGTGAGTGTTTCTTCTTTCACTCCCAAAGGCCTTTACTAGTAGTTTAGTTTTGGATAAGGTTTTGTAAGAGTGCCACACGATTGTCCATTGAACACTTGGTACGTTGCCTTTTCACCTTATCGTGTACAACCACATAGAGTATCACGGCAGTAGTGCGTAAAAATGCAAACGAATCGACGGAGATTCATTTACAGAGGTCAATTAGACAGCCCTCGTCAAATTGCTACAGAAATGTTGTGGTTGAATGTTAAACCATCGTGGATTTGATTTTCTCATTTGGTGGAATACTTTGGGAGTGGAAGGACTTAGGAGAGGTTCTGTAGTGTTGAGCATTTTTGCGTAATTGAAGATTCGGTTTAAACTGAATGTGTGTAATTCGCTTTTAGATGACATGTTTTTCCCGGTTGTTAAATCAATCAAATGCCTTGCGCTGTGATATATTGCCACACTGTGGCGCTGAATAAAGATATTTATTTCCGTTACATAGTCCACTTTTTCTGTTCAGTTCTGTTTCATTGCGTTCGACGTGGGAGAACGCATACTCGTCACGTCGTTTTTCAATCCCGCGGGTATCGATCGGAAGCCAGGCCACTCCATCTTGGACTGACAGGTACACATGGCCTCGATCTCATGCGGGTATCTTGACTCGCTTCGTCTGGATGCTATGAGAAGACATGTAGTTAAATTGTAGCCATTTGAACGAACGAAATGAGTTACTGCGCATCAGAACGGTGAGTCAAGGCCTTATATGATGGTCGTTGGTGTAATTCGGGATAATATAACACAGAGACGAAATATCCACTCCTAAGCAATATCAAAAGCATTTTACTAATCCATTATTATAACTAGTCAGCGGAAAATGTCATGGTCGTGGTTGGAATTACTCAGAATTGCCGTTCTACCACATAACGAGAGGAGCAGAGCAAAACTACTCTTGTTTAAAGTGGACGCTTTCACGAAGTTAAGATGTTGAAGTATTTCTGACTTACTGTTAGGTAATTACTTTACAACTGTTCGACTTTCTTCCTTGCATTATTTATCGCCTGCTGGATTAACTCTGTTTATGACGACCCTCTCAGTTTGTTCAAACGGGCGTTTTTTTCAACGACAACACTTCCTTTTAGGAGTTATCTCACAAGTTCTCAATACTTAAGGGTTGTTGAAGTACATACACATGTCCGATCAAGAACAGAATTCTCTTCACGAATGTACGGGTCCGACTGTCTTCCCTACGATTTTGTTAAAATTCATGCTGCCTTTTCACTTCGAAAAGATTTTCTGTCGAACAATGGGGTAATTAAGTCGACTAAACGAGAAACGGGAAGCAGGTCATCCTCTCATGAGTATCCTCTGTTATTCCATATTGACCCACTTACATCAAACGATTTGACTAGAAATTTTCATGGACGACAGAGTACGAATGTAAAAATAGGCGACTTCTTGAACATCCTTCAATCGAATAGATATTATTTCACCTTTTTGAAGAGGTAAATGCACGTTATATACCACGAGCAGTTCATATTTCCATTCTAATCTTTCGCGCAAGTCAAAGAAATCGACGAAGAAAAATAAGATACCAAACCCGTACAAGGTCTTCGTTTGGGAACTGAAAATCGCGTGGGATCCTGGGAACGTATGTCGCGCGCGCTTTAAGACGTCACAAAGGTAACCGAAAAACAAACTGAATTCGCCAGCAAACAGGGAACATCATGCAACGGTTTTCCTTCCATTTATATTTTGGTTAAACTGTCTTCACATGGCTGTGAAATGAAGATCTTTTTACTGCTGAGTACGGTTTTCATCTGTTTTTCCTTGAATACCGTTAAAGGTAAAAAGCCCCTTTTTATCTATGCTTAAGTTCAACTCCAACTTGCCCCAGCCTAACTTCGCGGACGAAGCCACAGTTACTGTTGGGCGGGTCAGTTCCGCCGAGAAAGTATCTTCTATTTCGTGGCATTTTATCTTTTGGGCAAAACGACAGAAGATACCCTGAGATTTTCCTTAGAAAAATTTCACAAGTTTACGCGACAGTTCCATTCAACTCGCCGTTTGGAACACATAATTTTAAGCTCAGTTATGAATTTGTTTTTATCGCTATAACTGTTTTCTATTTTTTCGCTTTTCAGTTTTTCGAATTTAAAAATCCCCTTTCGATTTCAAAGATTTCTTATGGGAAGTGCACTGCTTATAGGGAAAGAAAAAAAATATGGATATTGTTTAAAAATGTGCGTGTGGCTTAGCTGTCCGATATGTGACTTATTTCACTCCTGAACTACTTTTAAAGCTTTGATTAAAACCAGATTCTGTTGCACTCAAAATTTATCTTGTGCATTCATCAAATCAAGGAAAGCTTGTGCTCTCATTTGACACTGCACTCGCCTCGGAGGGATCAAATACGACCCTTATTTGCCAGGATACAGACAGCAAGCTGCTAACAAACCTAACATGGTCATTTCAAAGAACTTCGGGTGATTTCGTTTTGGTTGAAAATGGTCTCCTGGCCCTGGTGTCAGTGGAGATAAATACAAGCTATCAAATTCAACAACTAAGCTACAGATTAATCAGCTTGGCGTCAATGACATTGGAAACTACACTTGTTGCATGAGAGGAAAACAGGGGGAGACTATTCTGAGTGCTACGGTTTTCTTGACCGTGGAAGGTAAGATATCTGAAGGTGTATATTCTTAAAATTTTAATAAGAGTTTATCGACAGATTTCGGCCTCTGCTTGTTTATCAAATCCGAAAAACAGGAAGATGTAGTGCAAATAAGGAAACATCTATTGCAACTTTCTCGTGTTCTTTTCACAATCCCAAGTGTGATTATTAGGTCGGTAATTCGATAGCCAAACGTGCGCATGCGGTCTATTGCTTTTATAAGATAAATTTTCTGCGGTAGTACCTCAGTTACTTTATAAAAACAAAGTAGCTAGCTGTCAATTGCAAATTATTGTACAATTTAAGCAATAGATAGGGAGAAGATGAAAGAAAGCTCAATGTGTTATGTATAAAAACCCACAAGCGTCCATTCACAGATGCTACAGTCTGATTGGCTACGTTACTCTCCATCTGTTCCTTAATAGATATTGATTAAAATAGACTAAGAGTTTGTGGTTTTAAATAGAATAAATTAAAAGCGCGAGCCTTCCTTGTTATGGAGTTTTTGACGACTGGCGTATTAACTCTTTAACTCCCAGGATCTCATTAGTGATTCTCTTACTGTCTGCCATATAGTTCTTGTGATGTTAGTTTCGAGAATTTGGTATGGGATCAACTAATAATACCCTTATCAACATTTTTCGTTATTCTCATCATTTGTCTGCTTGATATTGTATTGATATTATAAGGAGAAATCCTCTCTTGATCACTCATGGGTTAATATTAAAAACAATAACTAGATAATTCGCTCTCTATTTCTATGCGCGACTGTTCATTCGGGCTCTTATCGAATATCACGCGATAGAAGTCTCGAGCGAATAATCTAATTGTTAAATAGGAAAAATTCATTCTCTAAAGAAAGGCAGCATTGAAAAAAATTTATGTGAACGAGTTATAACCTGAAATACCATTGTAAAAAAACTTTCATGCAAAATTGTAATCTCCTTTCCAAAAAACGAACGAGGTGCTACGTTTGTCGAGAACTGTTGCGCTCCTTTCGAGGAAAGCAGAAACAATTTGTCCGCATCAACTAGAAGTTGATTCATAGAGAAAAAAAATAGGTAAACCAATAGCTTACGAGAGGCTGACCGCCAGCTTTTCAGAATCTGCTACGATCGATGCTGTACTTATCTTTACCAACTTATAATTGTGTACCAGCTAATTTTTTCCCCTCAATAATTATTATTAAATATATCTAGAATGTGAAGCTAATTAGAAGTGGAAATAACGTTACAAAATATACTGCCTCTTGTTTACCTCATTTTGCTATGTTAACTTTACGATATTTTTATATCAGCTTTGCCCCGAAATGGCCAACCCGCAAATAATCTAAGTTCCATGACTACAGTGCCTTCCGCAAGCGCTCCAAATCCCTCGAGTACTACACATCCCTCGAATGCATCGAATCCCGCAAGCGCACTTTATCTTACGAGTGTGGGACATTCCGGAGGTATATCAACTTTGTCGAAAGGAGAAGTTAAAGCACCTTTGGAAAACTTCAACCATCACTTAGTGCAGCTTCTACTTCACCAACTATCATGCAAGGAACAACATCTCATCCTGTTTTGTCAGCTTTGTCGAAAAATCCTGATAGAATTATAGTAGCAAGTAAGGGTTGTGGAAACTTCAGTGACGACACAGGTATTATAGTGATGGTCAATTTTAGCAACTGAACATTTGCGCACATACCCATCCTCTAACCCAACAATAGCCAACAAATGTATAAGTAGGGGTAATTTTAGGCCAGAGGAGGGGTGGGTGAACTGTTGCTGAGGTACTGACATTGACCATTGTAATGATAAAGGCGTTAGTCTCACGATTTAGTCATTCCTCACTTTGGATCGCGAGGGTTCTTTCTACAAACGATCAGATTTAATTCCCTCGGGGAATTAAGAATCAATTTCACTTGTATTTTCAAAGTTTTCTCAAAACTTTCTCGGGCCCATGCAATTACATATACTAAATGATTAATAAGCTCTTCCATGAAAAATTCAACCAATTTGTCGGGCATTGTGGCGCAGTTTGCTGGCTAAACGGAAAGTTTGGTGGACTGAAATAAACTCTTACGCGCGTGTAATTGTTCAGATTGTTTTTTTAGTCATTTTTTCTTCCAGCTCTTATTTTCTCAAAGTGATACTGGTAATAAAATTTACGTTTTCGGATATAAACATGTCTTGGGTCCCTCCCAGAGCTTCATTTCACCTTCGCCTTACAGCTCCGGCTAAAAATGACTCTGAGTCGGGTCCAAAACATATTTATGTGCTTTATTATGAAAAAACAGAGATCTAATGGTGCACGTTTTCTTTGCAGTTGCGTTTCACGAAAACGAAACTTCACCCAGTTTGATAATGATCAAAGAAAAGGACAATTGAAACTACACTGCAGTTATTGTGCGAATTCACCACAACAGGTCTTTGGTCTTTTCTGGTACAAGGAGAATCAGATGATTCGTAATAGTACACACTATACGATAACAAATCACGGCAAAGATCTTGGTATTCCTGTGGTGCAGCAAGGAATGGATGAGGGACTTTTCATGTGTGAAGTTGTATCCTACAAACAGAACATTTCAAAGCTCATCACTGTTATTGTGAAGAAAGGTAAGCAATAATTAGTTTCATAGCATTCGTGTATCGGTAAGATAGAAGAAAGGCTCTCACTTGGAGAAACAAATTTTTTCATGACTCAAGGTCACCGTTGTTAGTCTTTCCTTTACTTTCATTCTACGTGGTGATGTGTTACTTAGGGCCGTGATATCACAAATTTTTTGTCCGGGAATGGAAAATTGGCCTGGCGTGAGCTCGATAGCCTTCATAGCTGGCAGCTTTGTCTGCGTTTTGAAGCACCAAGCGACAGAGTCGTAAAAACGAGCGATGGAGCTGCGAGAGGCTTGAGGTGGAAAATGGATCTTTCCCACTCACAACTTCCTTGCTAATTGCTTTAAAGCGCGCGCAAAGCCGCCAGATTGAGATTGAAGTTTCGATAAATGGGCGAATGAGTCGACTTAAGTACTTTTGTCAACGTATTGTGTCTTCGATCAAAGACTTGTTTTAAACCGTACGTGATATGTTTTATACCTTTACTTTATCTCACAGCCGAGTTAAATCCATTGTTGTTAAGCGTGTTTGCTCAAAACAAGTCATACCTGTCTGTGCAAATCGCCTGGCGTCTTACGGAACACGCTGTCTTCAGTGCCTGTCATGTCAGCCTGAAGCTGAGACTGTTGAACTCCAGTTCATGGAGTCAAGAAGTTACCAATTTATCTCAAATACTCGGGTTTTACACATTCGCACATCTGCAGCCCAGAAGAATGTATTTATTAAACATTACACTGCAAAACAAATACAAGCAGATTGAGAACAGAGCAGTGGTTTTCTGGTCAGCGGCTTCCAACTCTTCAGGTATGAGCAGTCATTACTCCCTTTGATTTTACTGTGTTTCCTAATAATGGCTTCCATGATCTGTTACTCGTTGCTAACAACTTTAAAGGTAAATGGTAGGCGCTTTCGCCACCTACTATCCTGAAAGAAATCTGCAAGCTATGCATAGTTAAAAAATTTCCTTTTAAAGAAAAACGTTAAGTAACCAAGCACACCAAATGGAATATGGGCAGTTTGTCTTTCGAACCTAAGTTCTTCGCGCAAGTTTAGGGGAGCAAAAGGAAAAAGAAAAGAAAGAGAAAATGTACATAATCACCAGGCAGGAACTAGGAGCGATTATCGCCGTTCTTAAGGCTCGAAAATTTTGGTTAAAGTTTAGCTCACGCAATTTGTGAACTATCTTGTTTATACGGGGAAAATAAAACGTGTCCCATGAGAGTATTTAGGCCTAATCATGAACTACACATGAAATTATTTTGACGCAAGCTAATCTGCTAAAAAGACTTTACAAGATTTTGCTCTATTATTACAATGTGACAGGCTTCTCAACCGTATTCAAGCCTTTTTGTGAAAGATTTCTGTCTTCTTAGCGGAGCCTTTGAAAATGGGGTGAATGCAATTATTCAGACGTCATTTTTTAACTTATTACTAACGTTAACCCAAATGATAAAGAGAGATAGTGATGTATTTTGGTTTTACCAACTGAGTTGACAATGTAAATTGGCCACCGTGAAGAGTTTCTAAATCTGAAGTTTCAAGCGTTAGCTCTTCGTTAGAGCAGAAGGGCAGATGATGTAATTCATTGGTTATTAGCTTTGGCCAACGAAATAATCTTATTCCCCACGAGAATTAAACCTCAGATCTTCGGACCTTGTGCTTTCATGTTCAACCACAGTCACAGTAAAAACATTTGTTGGTCTCGCAACTGGGCCGTACGCCAGCTGGCTCAGAGATGCCAAGGATCCTGTATATCGATAGGATTAGCAGCACAAAAGGCATCGTGCGTGTAGATATAGAATAAGAAAGATAGCAGACTTTAAGCAAAATTATGTTTCCTTTCTTGTTTCAGAGTTTGATCAAAGATTACGGCTTCTCTATCACGTGATCAACAAGAGAGCTTTAAGCGTGGCGCTAGGGATCATAGGATTGCTGGGGATAATAATGATAACATACGTCTGTGCCACGTGGTGTTATTCTGATAAAAGAGGTTATTCCATCCCACCAGCGCAGATGAAGAGAAAGGACGAGAATGACAGTAGTTTTGAAGTAGACACTCACTTGCTTTACAACAGGTTTGTTTTGACCATTACGTTCACTTGTCTCAGTTTAGCCTGAGTCACAGAGGCTCGACTTACAGGGAAAGTATGCTTCAGAAACCACATAATTCTCAAATCAGCCATTGAACATTAATAAGAAATTATAACGTTGATTATGTTTTGAAATTCCAAAGAGTAGCCTAACCCTTTTGAAAATTTTTTTCCAATATTCTAACATTCGCTTGTAGACGCCGCCATTTTGAATCTACAGATACGGCTTACCTGTAAACAACCGACTAGGAGCTACACAGGAGAGGCTTTCTTGACCAAGATAATAATTTTCATTCGTAAACAATACCAGCAACTGCGTGTAGACCGCGCAGTCCGTTTTTTAGCGCGGCCAGATAACTGAATTGCTTTTACCTGTCCATAACGACCAGTTTTCCAATGGTTGGGTCATTCTTTGGAGTCTCGAACTGCAGATAGCAGTAAATTTACATGCATTGATACATGCTCATTTTCTTTGGTGCTGGAGCTTGCTACTTTCTTTTCGTGGAGTGTGAGCGTTTTGGAGCGACACACGCAAGGGAGTTTCTATAGTGCGTATATTCCCTTCCTCCCTCGCGTTTCTCGCTTCTTTGCAAAGCACCTGTTACGCAGGCTAGCTTGCTTCTGTTATGTTAATTTCCTCTTCTGGCCACATGTGTTTTCCACGCCTCTCGCGAGGCTTTCTTCGTCCTGCACTGTAACGTGGGCTCACTATCGGCACAGTCGAAGTCGCTAAAGTGAATTCAACATGACGTTATCTTTTTCAAAGTAATCTCTCTCTCTAATTGTAATAATGTTCGTGAGTACAACGAAATGTAAAGGATTCAAGATAACTTTTGTTTCAATCTTCCATCTTAAGGGCCTTTGAAGACGACAAACTAGATTGGATGAACGAGGATATATGATCGCAAAACAAAACTATTTCAATATCGTATTTGATCAAGCTCTCGATCTATCTTTCATTGCTTTTACAAAGTATTTTTCCGGCATCTTTTTTTCTGGATTTCTTCTCTTCTATAAATCTCAACAGTGAAAACACGCAAGTTTTGTTGCCTTTCTTCAAGCAATGGATGTTGAAACCAAAGATCGTTTAAGACAAGTAAATTGTAAACTTTTTTACTTCCTCCGGACATGTTGTATGAATGTACATTTACATCCTTCACTTTCACCTTTGAAAAGCACACCAGGCAATATTTTCTGTAGAATGCGAATAAAAAAAACACTGTCTAACGGGGTGATTTTTATTTTTATTTTAATTAGTGCATGCTTAATCTACAAACACGAGTCAATCTGTACAAAAATTCCAGCGCTCGAACATCTAAACAATAACTACAAAGCACGAATGATTACCTAACGTTTTTCACACTAGACGTGCTTCTCACTATACTTTTCCTGTTTTTCGACATTAAATTGATAAAAAAAAAGAAGCCAAATTGAATTGATTTTTCTCTCTTGCCTTAAGGCCTACCAATGTCAAACACCATTGGCTTCACAACAATTTTCTCTAATTAAATTATTTTTAAATGTTATGATCACAAACCATTTCTCTCACATCTCTCACAGTCTGTATAGGCAAACAGGGAACCTGCCCTTTTTAATCCCAATGCATTGTTATAAAGACAGCAAGAGTATCATTTAACCTAATACGCCATAGTTTACAGTCGGTGGATATAACATCACGAAAGTTCACGTTCATCAAGTCACGTGACACAAGTTCATCACCGTTCTTCAGTGGCATTGATGTAACTTGCGTCAAAATTGTTCAGATCAATCGAGATCTGTTAAAGAAGAAAGAAAAAGACCTCAGTGATGAACATCACCTTATAATGCAAAGAACAAGTTTTTGCCAAAGTTCTCCATACCAGTTTTCGTTCGTATTACTATTCATATAACTTTTCATGAAAAACTTGAAAACTTAAGAAAATTTCTTCATTAATGGAGATAAAACAATAACACGCCAGGATGTGAAGTGCTTTTGAGCCAAATAGATGGTCACAAAAAAGACAACAACAACAACATTGAAAAATTATTTCTCACAGAAACCGATGTTTCCTCGTCTTGTCACCAGCGCGGGACCAAGAAAAATTCTGAGTTGCCAATGAGGAATCAACCCCCAAACCTCAATTTTGTATATCTGAGGTTCGAGCCCTCAGAAGGGTTAGATATTCTTGTTTGTTGTCTAACAATTTTAAAAGATTTTAAAGCATCTTTGCTCCAAAATACCATGCTATGGACTTTTCCCCATCAACTTTCACGATCGTCAAGTTTATACAATTGTAGCCTTTCTTTTGAACTCACCCTTTCTGCTGTCATCAGTCTGTGTAGAGTTTTTCCTATTTCAAGGAAAGTTGGTCTGGCCTCTGGTTCTTGCTGCCAGCACTGCCACATGATGGCATATCTACAACAAAGAGAACATCTCTTATCTAAGTATTAAATTCATAGGGTTTGAAATCAAAGGAAACATAACCGAAATCTGAGAAAAAAAGAAAAAGAAAAAAAGCGATACGTCAAAGCTCAACGCTGACAACCTACTGAGCTAAGTGGCATTCTTTGCGGATGAATGTGCGAATAAGCTTCAGGAAAAAATATCTACCCAGAGTAGAAGGTTTACCATTGACACTAGAGATCTTAAATTCCAACTGTACTTCAAGAAAACTTCTTGAACACAAAGGCATTCTGGCTGAAGTAGATAATAGAAATCCTTTCTTTTGTTCACAAATGAGAAAAGAAACGCATATTTTTCCCATATTGTGACCACTGCAAGCTTAGAACAATTTTTAGCGACAAAACTACTCACACTTCATCAGAACAGTATTGTGGTTTGGGCATCCTGTAACCAATATGCAGCTGAGCTATCACTTGATCTCTGTTCATACCAGGATAGGGATTAGCCCCTGCAATAGAAATAAAACTACCTAAATAAATGATATCGTACATTTTTTTAACACAAGGAAAGTTAAGGATAACAACACTCAAATAAGAGGGTTGGAGATCAGCTACGTCTCGAGCAACTCTTACGCTTCTCCCGTGATCTCCACACTTACTGCGTGCTTCTTATAACTCGATGAACGCACGCTGACAGAGAATTGGTAAATATGGAGTGGAACCTTTACCTAAAGTGACAATCTCCCACAGAAGTATGCCATATGACCAACTGCAAGAAAAGAAAAATTATTAACAAAAAATGGCACCCGACACGTTGTAATTAAGCACAAACATAGTGAGCCATTGTTATGACGAGTTATTAAGAAACTGCTTCATCCAAACAGCGTTAAGATATTCATTCCACTTAAACAATATTTCTAATTTAGACATAACATAATTAACAATTATTCACCGAAATGGAGATGAGTAGTGGTAAATATCCACCACTTTCACCAACGCTGAGTTGAGTAATTGTTTCAGTATTTACCACACAGATTCCAAAATATTAGTTTTTTTCTTTCAAATATGGTCAGAAATTAAATTGTTGACGCACCATTTTGCCTCTTCGCCTGCTCAGAGGTCAATGGTCCTCGTTATTCACTTCCGTACCAACCAATCAGCGCGCGCAAATAGCACTATTCACCTATTTGGTGTATACTAATAGCAAATTTGCAACTTTCAAAGTTTTAGCAACAAAAAGAAATTTTCTTGAAGATATCGTTCTCCTATGTTTCAACTATCACATGATTAACTCGCAAGAATTACGACAATGTTATGCAACAACTTACATGTCACTTTCTGTGGTAGTGATTCCCTTAAATATTGATTCTAACGCCATCCAGCGAAGAGGTAATTCTGCCTAAAAATGACAAAAAAAAAAACAACAAAACCAATCACGTCGCCAAGTCATATGAATAAAAGCCAAGGCTTTCAAATATCACTGATGTCAACACCTCTACCACACAGTTACTTACACAAATAACAAATTCAGTATAGCAAAACTCCGACAACTGATTCAGTTGGCTTTTGGAGTTGCGAGGCAACAACATTATTGCAATGACTAAGGTCTTAAACTTAACTTAAACCTATTTCGTTGACCATTCGTTGGCCTCTGGACACCTATCAGGTCGGGGTGATAGAAGGGGACCATATTCACCGGGTAACCGTAAAAGGGGAACATTTCTCGAAATTTCCCGTAACTATACAGGCCCGTAGAGGCCCGTTATGCTGTTCTGTTTTCATTCCAGAAATGGGTTTTAAAGGTTTTGGAAACGAAACAAAAAACTATCAGCTAAAAAAACCAAATGTATCGGTTAGGGTGCCAGAAACTGTTTCTGTACTGTTAAAATTTGTTATTTTCAAGAATTTCAAGACACGAGCCCCTTAACCGCACCATAAAAGCGCTATATAGTCAAACGTTTCCATTTAAAACGATTTCTGAAAGAACTATGCGGTCTCGTTAGCCAGGATATTACTTTCGATGTGCAAAAATCATGTTTGGTGTTTCGGAGAAATTTAAAAAAAAATAGTACGAATGTATCAAATGTAAAATAAATGTTGAAGGGATTGTTCATAACATTAGTTTGAAGGTATGAAAATAAACTTTTTCTAAGATAATACTTCACTATTGTAGCAGTTCGCGAGAGTTAATGTCGGCCGCTATCACTTTCACTCTGAGTATGCTCTCAGTCGATGGAAGCCGATATGTCATAGGAAACGAAATTAAACAGGATAAACCTTTTAAACTCTAACAGAAATCTTGAGTAAATGATTGATTTTTACTAAAAACTCCATCATTTACTCTAGAATTAGTAACCAACCTACCTCTCCTAACTTTAGGTATTGTTTCTTCTCGTAAATATCTCTGGCTAGACCAAAGTCAGAAATCTTACAAATGTTTCCTTTGTCCACCAGAATGTTTCTAGCAGCCAAGTCTCTGTGAACAAGCTACAAAGCAAATCATAGCAAGTTAAAATTATTACACAACACATGTTCAAAAGTATTTCCCAACAAGACATAGGCACACAGTTAGTAAAACTAAAGCGATTTGTAAAGGGCGCGAAAGTTACAGAGGAGTGAAAAAATGATGGAAGTTGAATTGCTCACGCGATCAAAGAGAAGCGTGAACTATGATTGGCCGATGATTACATCCTATCTTGTTACAATAACCGTGCGCGAGATGTGGATTATCATACTGAAGATCTTGAATGACTTAAAATATATAGATTTCATATATTTGAACGGCGGATTTAAAAATGAAGACGAGAGAGATCATTGCAGTTATGACAATACTTACGCAGTAGTAAAATTTAAGACTGAAAAAAATTCAACTTACCTTCATACTTGAAAGGTAACTCATTCCACGAGCAACTTGCCACGCAAATGACATCAGGTCACGGCTCGTCAAAGACACACTATTACCTGCCATGTTGGCGTAAACAACACTGCCGTGACTGGAAATAAGGAAATCTTTCAAGTTCCCCGAGGAGCAGTACTCTACGATTATGAAAGGCTGATCTGTTTAAAGTGAAAAAAGGAAAAACTTTTATAATTTCATTCTTAACATTTCGATTTCCCTCACGTGATAGAGATTTTTAATCTGTGTCAAGTAACTCGGCTTGATTCATGGAGATTTTAGTTCGTTTTATTCAAACAATTTCTCCTCCAGATTATGACACCATTTCTTCCCAAGCTTCTCCTTTCTTTTACCCCACAACGCATCTCATTAGCAATGTCCAGGGTTCAAAAATCGATGAATACAATACAGTAAATGATGAATACGATTGGAGAGGAAGGCGGCGTCGGATAATACTCTCCCAATTAATCCCGATGCGAAGGAAGGTAAAACTAAACTGCTTACTGTCTGTTATGGTGCTTGTACGTTCAATCTTGCTAGAGAAACTCCATTCTTTTTTCTTGGGTAAAAAATTGTCCTCTCGACAAACAAAATCAGGCGCCACTCCATATACTTTAACTCTCTCCACTCACCTGATTTAGTACAACACCCAACCAGACCAACAATATTTGGATGAGGTACCATGGGTTTCATTAGTTCCAACTCATCAAGAAACTCTTTCTTTTGTTGCTGATCAGCATTTTCTGTCAGAGATAACAATATCGCGAATGAGCCACTCTGCTTCGGAAGTCTCATACCATGGAGGGCATGTTTACGTTAAGGCAGGTGACCGTTTGTCGAGTCACCATGTTTATCTTAGAGTTAGACGGAAGAGGGAAGGGAAGAGTTCTAGATTCAAGATGGCGGCCGAGTTTTTTCATAGGCGATCGCTCGCCAAAATCTTAAAATTACTTTTCTCAGTTTACAATTGAAGACAACCGACTTGAATTTTGAGAGCGTTCAAGCAACCTAAAGCCCTTGACGCATGGAATCCTTTAGTATATGAGCATTTCTCGAGTTATTCTTAAATAATGTTCGTCACCGCTATCTTAAGCGTTGCAACGAAGAGAAACGTTTCAGGACAAACACGATGAGATCTTAGTCCCTACCACGCCAGAGCTTGCGCCAGTTAAGCCAGAGAAAATCAGTCCAACCGTAAGTAAGCATACAAACCTTTTAGCATCTTTACGGCTACAACCTGTATGCCTCGTTTCGTCTTCAAATAACCCTTCATGACTTGTCCAAAGTGGCCTGAGCCCAATTTCCTATCAATGCGCACATTCCTCTTAGGTACTTCCCACTGTTTTGGTCGAGAGATGGATGCATACTCACTGCCAGCTGCCATAGCGGCTGCCGCATCGGGTTTGATGGTGACATAAGAATACGTGTCACACCTCTGGGTTGGAGGGGATTGGCCGACATTGGGATCCGCATAAGTGTACGGGTCTTCTCCTGTGTCAGGAATGAAGTGAATGGTTTAGAGCGCTTTTTGATTGTTTTTTTAAGACCAAAACTTACGTAACTACAACAGACAATCAGAATAAGGTAGACATCACAAATAGTAACTGAGAACTTAATATAAATCATATAACCAAACTCAAGCGCCATACTCAAGCTACAAAAACAACAAATCTTTTTGTTGGTCGCAAAAAGAAGTAACACAACTGAATAATAAGAAAACTACTTATAGTTAACAAGCTATTTTCAAAAGCATAGTTTAATCATAACTGGAGCCTAGAGGCTAGAGGAACCACGAGGTTTTTTAGCTTAACTCTTCCCATTTGAAGTCAGGTTTTTAACAAAAAGAGAAACGAGAGAAAAAAAACCCACACTTAAAAGATCGTGTAGTACTACAACAAAGACAGATACTTGAATTTTTATTTAAGTTACTTATGGTGTTGTTCCGACGGCAAATAATATTTCACTTGTAGATAGAAATAAGAGAAATGGTAAGTTTTTTAGCTCGGTAAAGACATAGAAAAGATGTTTTTTTTTCGTCTTGTCACGAGCGTGGGACAAAGAAAAAAATTCTGAGTCCCCACGAGGAATCGAACCCTGAGAATCGGATTCATCGGAGCATAGAAGCGCGGAGTCCGAAGGTCTGAGGTTCGATTCCTCATGGGGACTCAGAATTTTTTTTTTCTTTGTCCCACGCTCGTGACAAGACGAAAAAGAACATATTTTCAACATTTCACTTATTTGTCCAAAGACAATGTATTCAGGTCTTTAAAATAATAAGGAATGTCTTGCCAAAGATCTATCGCCTCAAATGAAAGCATTTGTCTAACGATGTTGGTTCGAGGATAGAGTTTCCAGAAATTTTGCGAGGAAAACGTTTGCGGTTTTGCGCGCTTCCTAACCTTAACTATTTAAACCCTAAGAGTGACTGGCACCCAAGTTCTCCTTACAACAGTATCGCTAAATCATCTATCATCATTATGAGAATACAGAGAATGATCGCCAACCTAAGAAGCTTTGATTACCAAATGATTTCTCCTTGTCAATACCAAAAGGAATGTATAGAGAAGAGTATGGAGAAAATGGATGTTGACGTTAGAGTGTAAAGGGTTAACTCGCCTAACAAGACGCCTACTCTGCAGGCTTACGTTAGGCCAATGCCTCTTCTTTAACCCTTTAACTTCTATGAAAGACCAAGAAAGAATTTCTCCTTACAATATCAATACAATATCAAGTAGACAAGTGATGAGAATAAAGAAAAATATCAATGAGAGGATTATTAGTTGATCTCATACCAAATTCTCCAAACTAACATCACAAGAACTATTTGGCCGACAGTAAGGAGAATTGCTAATGAGATCGTAGGAGTTAAAGGGTTAAAAGATGTAAATATTTTCTAAGTGTAACTACATACCACCACAGAGTAATGTACAGCTGGGAGAGGCTGAGAAGGATCTTTTTTCTTCTTGTTTTTACGACGTATGATCAGCACCACCACAATAACCAAAAGTACAGCACACACCCCTCCTATGACTCCACCCAATATGGCGCCTGTTGATGAACCTTCGTCTTTACGGGCTTGCGGACCGCTGTCTTCCCCTGAAAAATACGTTAAGAAATATGTCATATCGAATAAAGGGGGTACGTTTCTACAGAAACTGTGAAGCTGTGTCTGCTGGGGTGTATTACAAGATAATTTAGCTTTATCGACTGAGTTAATGATGTGAGTTGGCCACCATAAAGAGATTCTTAAATTGACATTTCAAGTGTTAACCCTTCCTTCAGAGCGAATCTAAATATGGAGGCTCGCTAGTTAGCTATACCAAGTAACTCCTACTAACAATGTCAGTGTAATGTCAATCTGGAAAGTGACTGATAGCAAAGATAATCACCTATGGGGTATTACTTGATTTAACAATAAATTCTCACAACTAAATTAAAACAAGTGTAAGGAGGACAATAAGGAGAATTGGCATAAAGATCTTTTTGGTGTTCACCCATTCACTCCCAAGACCTGCTTATTAATTCTCTACTCTAGCTGTTACAGACTTCCTGGTAAATTAGTTACTGGAATTTTGTTTTAGACCACAATAACTTCTTCTACCTGATAGTTTTAAGGGTTCTCATCACCTGTTTGTGGGATAATGTATGTACATCACTTGGAGAAGTAACATGTTAAAACACTCCTGGGTTTTCAAGGGTTAAAATAATTTATTTAATAATGCACATGAAAAAGTTATGTGCTTCTTATTGGCTGAAAATGACTGCATTCTCATGTAACACAAATGCAAAGTTGTAACAAGAGTGCATATTATAAATGACACCTGCACACTTTCAAAATTTCATCTATCTGGACTTAACATGATTTCTTGTGCAATTTAGTGTGAATAGGCATTTGTAAATTTTTCAAAGACAACAGCTCATTAACCCTTTTACTCCCATGAGTGACCAAGACAGATTTTCTCCTTACAATATCAAGCAGACAAGTGATGAGAATAAAGAAAAATATCAATGAGGGTATTATGAGTTGATCCAATACAAATTCTTCATACTAACATCATAAGAACTGTGTGGCAGACAGTAAGGAGAATTACTAGTGAGATCTTGGGAGTTAAAGTGTTAACAACAAATTGCACTTGAAATCATGTTGTTACCTACACACATTGAACAACAATGTACCTTTTAAGTTCACTGAAACTTCACTGGATTCACCAGATCCAAACTGATTGACAGCTAGCACACTGAAAACAAATACACCATTCCATCCCTCTTCCTTATTCAACATGGCACTTGTCAAATTTCCTGATATTTTATCAGAACTTGTCCACACATCTGAGCCGCTGATCTTGTATCTTACAATAAAGGTGCTGTCGGCTCCTCCATCATATCCAGGGAGCCATGATACCAGTATAGTTTGGAAAGATGTTTGTTTGACTGTGACATTAGAGGGTGCCTCAGGGGCTCCTGTGAGGAAGTAGCAGAAGAAAAAAATTTTAATGACACTGTGGTTACATTTATACATTTGAATCTGAACCTTCAGGAACAAGAAACATTGTTTGATATACTGATATACTCAACTGAGCTCATGCATCCAGGGAATTCAAGTTACCATTTTCAGGAAATTTCCCATAACCTTTTAATTTCCAAGTGATAAAGACGTAATTTCTCCCTAAAATATCCTTACAATATCCAGCAAGCAGGTGATGAGAATAGTCAATCTTGTCAGGTAAAAAATTATTTCCACTAATTTATAAGGAAATGTGAAGCAGTTAGAGGGGAGAATTAACAATCAGTTCTTAGGGGTTAAAAAGTCAACACCAAAGATTTTATATAGTGCAGCTGAAATATAAGGGTTAATTTCTTTGTTTGCTGGAGTGGGGACAAAACTAAAAAACCCTCCAATTCCAGCAAGGGGTTACTGAAATTTTTCTATCTCAAACCTTTCCAAGTGCAACTACTCATTCATAAAAAATGCAAACAGAGCACACATTACTGTTGGGTTTGAAAACTTATATCAATTACTTATAACTTCTGGCTAAAAATTCTTGTAAACAGGTCAGATCTTTGCTCTCTTTTTAAAGCCTTGCTGGGCCAAGTCACTATCTTTATCTTAATCAATACATCACCCACATAAACATTCAATTAATTTGATTTGATTTCCAAAAATATTGCTAGCTATCCAAGACAGGGGATGTTGACCTCAGAGGGAAGTTATGAACATAGAAAATCTACTGATGAGTTAATAAAGTGCTCCAACAACAAGTACTACAGAAAAGTGAAGACTTTGAGAGCATGTCATTCATCTTTACCAGTAGTAAAAATTTATAGAGCTACCTTTGACAGCCAAAGTTATATTTGCTGAACCGGTTCCAAACTGATTTTGAGCCATTAAGGCGTAAACCCCATTTTGACTGTACTGCACCAAAGTTATAAGAAATTCAGCTTTGTATGTGCCATTAGCATGTAGCTTAATGGTTCCAGGATCTTTGAGCTGTTTGCCATCTTTATACCATGTGACATCTGGCTCAGTTTCACTCATTACAAAGAACTGTAGTGTTATGTTGGAACCCTTCCTGATGTCTCTATACAGAAGCAATGATTTGACCTCAGGCACTCTTCCATCTACAGAAAATCATTCAAATAATGGAATTATGCTTTTAGATAGTAGATCTTCTGTGTTTCGCAGATTGTCAACTATGTCAAACAGATTGGACACACTAAAATAGTTGAGGGAGAAAGTTTTAATTAATGTTTTCACAGTGAAATTAAATTAGGTCAGGTGCACTCCTTTGAAAAGTCAGGTTGTGAGACAGCAGACCCATCTTGCTATAAAGTGCAGTTTTATGAAGGTTCCAGTTGGGTGAAGCAGTAAGGATAAATGCCACTCCTCTTTAAAGCATATTCCAAATATTGAAACTCTTCTAGGGGGGAGTTGACATTGTATAGACCCTGGGCCCCCTGAAAGGGCAAATACGAACTGCTAACAATTAAACAATTCAATTGGTTATTGCCAATCTTTCATTCTACATGTTAATTCCAATAAAAGTTTTTCTATTTTCAATTTTTTTCTTTTGTTTCAATAGAAAACACTAAGCTGAGGTTAAACTGTACCACCTCAAATACAAAGATACAAAATTTAATGAATGCCCGAGTCTTATTAACCATGTTGGAGGTCCCTACTGTAAGTTAAGGACCACTGAAGTTTTTTCTGCTTGAATTCATGGCCTAAGTATAACATACAAAGGCCATAACTCCAAGCGGAAAAAATGAAGTTCTGAAACTTGTAGTAGGGAACCAAGAAAACAAGGTCATTTTATTACTAATATCTCTAGGTTTGATTTCAATTAACTCAAACTATTGAATTTAGCAAAATGTAAAATAAAATATGGCCTGCTAAGTTGACCAATCACAGCACATGGGCTATCTGAGAAATATAACAAGATATGATTATTTAATTGTCATGTGATAAGAAACAAACATACCTCCAACAAACAATGTTATGTTGCCCTCAGCTGTGCCTGCCACACCACTGACAACACAAACAAAATGACCTGAAACAGAACTTGTGACATTGCTTAATTCTAAAATGGCTTCAAATCTTGACCCTACACCTCGGACAAATTGAAATCCTAGGTCTGTGACTTTGTTTCCATCTTTGTACCAAATTACTTGTGGTATTGGGCTTCCACTGAAGAAACATTTCAACTCAACATCAGAACCAACTGCAGCAACTACTGCTGGTCTTGGTACTTCAACTTTATAAGGAATAACAGAACCTTTGGAGAAAGAAAAAATGTTACCTCTACAAATTATCATGGTACAATCTGCACAGGAAGGGTAGTCTTTATTAATCACTAGGGAAAATTTATGTTTGAAGAACCCAGGCTGTAACCATAAAGGAAATTTAACAGCAGTCATTATTTTATTAAACACAGATGCCATCAATTGAAAGTATGCAAAAAAAAAAACACCTCAGTCATAACTCCACTTTAATCTGACAATTATGTATGCTGGGGACTTTTTACCTCAATGGTGCTTGAAGCAATGTGAATGATTGTGCAAATTGTATTTTACTTTACAAGGAAAAGGTGTGGGAAACTTCTGACAATGAAAAAGTAGTTTTCATTCATATTATTATTAAAAAAAAAAACTTTAGATACAAGCATAAAAATTTAAGTACCACCAACATGTTTTGCTGTCTGAGTGAAAACCTTGATGGTACAGAGATGAGTTTTCCTTACTGTATCTTCAATTAATTTTGAAAATATCAAATTTAGCCACAAAGTTGAGACTTCTTTTCCTTTGTAATTTAAGTGTCACAAAGTGCATATTGTTTCAAATACCTCACTATTAGCTTTCCAAATGATTGGTTGAAATCAGGGAACACCAAAATCAGTGAAATTTGCCTTTGTGTGCTGTTTGCATTCCAAAAATATCTTGCACAGGGGTATCTCCTACAGGTACATTAAAATAACTTGAATAATCAAGTCACTCACTAGAAAAATAAACTCTAGATTTCCTGCTTGTTACACTTCCTTTGGCATTAGTCACTATGCAACAATATTTCCCAGTATGACGACGTCTTATTCCATCAATTTTCAACTCAAATATCTTTACATTGCGCCAAGTTGTGTTTGTTAAGGAGAATGAATTGTCCTCCCTTAAATCACTGCCATTGTGAGTCCACTTAACCGCAAATGATGTGGCACTGCCAACAACACCACAGGATAATGCCACACTCCCTCCAATGACAGTTGGGACATCCTGGGGTTGCATAACAACTGAGGGATCTTAAAGACAAAAATGTAAAGATCTGATTGTTAATTCTCCCTTCTAGCTTCAACTCATTCCCTTGTAAATTAGTTAGAAGAATTTGGTGATAGATCAAGACAACAACTTCTACCAGATAAGTTTGAGTATTCTCATTACCTGTTTGCTCAATAATGTCTGGATATTATAGGGAGAAGTTACATGTTAATCACTTCTGGGAGTTAAAGGGTTAATATATAAGTCAATGAGGGGAGGAGAATATTAATTCTCCGACCCCCTTAGGCTGGCTAGCCTCTGTCGTAATTTCTCCTTACATTATTACCTACAAATCACACATCAACCTTTTAACTCCCCAGGACTGATTGTTCATTCTCCCCTCTTACTGTTACACATTTCCTTGTAAATTGGTTATGAGAATTTGGTGTTCAATCAAGATAACGATTTCTACCTGATAAGTTTGAGTAGCCTCATTACCTCATTACTGGACAATATATGGATATTACAGAGAGAGATTACATGTCAATCTCTTCTGAGAATTTAAGGATGAACCCTTCCACCCCTAAGAGTGACTAACATCTAATTTCTCCTTACAATATCTCTCCTGAATCACTCATGAAGGCCACAAGAATAAAGGAAATGATCATCAACTAAAGAAGCTTTTGACTGTGAAACAAATTCTCCTTGTCAGCACGTTAGGAAATGTATGATGAACAGTGTGGAGAATATACATACTGATATTAGGGTGTAAAAGGTTAAAGTTATGAGAATAAGTAAATGATTATCAACTAAAAATCCCTTGATTGTTACACAAATTCTCCTTGTCTGTGCCTTAGGAAATGTTTTGAGAATCACTCATGAAGGCCACAAGAATAAAGGAAATGATCATCAACTAAAGAAGCTTTTGACTGTGAAACAAATTCTCCTTGTCAGCACGTTAGGAAATGTATGATGAACAGTGTGGAGAATATACATACTGATATTAGGGTGTAAAAGGTTAAAGTTATGAGAATAAGTAAATGATTATCAACTAAAAAATCCCTTGATTGTTACACAAATTCTCCTTGTCTGTGCCTTAGGAAATGTTTTGAGAACAGTATGGAGAATATGCATACTGATGTTAGGGACTTAAGAGTTAAATCTAAGGTCTGGGGTTCCTTTCAAGGTGGTAAGGTCAATAACCATTAAACTGATCATCTGAATTCAATTTCCATTCAAAATGGTTTCAAGAACAAGGCTGAATGTCACATTTGAGACCTACATGTACATTGTACATAACAACCCACAAGGTTGCATTGATAACCTTTCTAACTTAGGAATTTGTACTGACATCTTCTGCAATCTTTAATTAATGGCACTCCAAGGTTTTTCCAGAAGTACCTCCAATGTTTTTAATAAAATTACATACCTGAGACCACTTCAACATAGACTGAAGAAGAAATAGATCCATGATAATTAGATGCTGTACAGGTGTACCATCCAGAGTGGGAAGCCTTTGCAGAGGAAAAACTAAATTGTTTCCTACAACTACAGGATTAAAGGAAACTACAAGATGTCCATTGTGTGACCAAGAGTGCGCTGGCTCAGGAAATGCAATAGCATCACATGGCAAGGTGTATTCTTGATCTTCATACAATGTCACATTGCGTGGCTTGATTTTCCAACTAGGTGCACTTTCTAGATGAGAGATGGAAAAATTGGTTAGTCAAACTTTGCTCTCAAAACATCAACTTGGATATCACTGATGACTTTTGAAATCTGATTGGCTCTCAGCACAGTGATTTATTCACAAGCCCAAAAATGTTTTTACTATAAATGAAAAAGCAACATCAAAGCAAAACAAGCAATCAGATTTCAAGGCTTGCTTAAAGTGATCAATCAAATTTCAGGAAAATGAAAGAAAAAAAAAAGCAGTTGTCCCATGAAACATTTTTAGTTTTAAATGTGGGAGGGAGGTGGGAAATTGAATTTTAACAAATATTTTTTGACCATTTGCCCAAACTCAATGTTGTCATGATGTTAATCTTAGGAGTTTGCATACCTGTTTGCACAGTAATGTAAAATTGGCTTCAGCTCTTCCATGTTTATTCTGGGCCACACAGCCATATTGCCCTGCATCTGACCATTGTAGGTGGAAGATATAGAGATTTCTAAAGACAGAACCCACAACAAATCTGCCTCCAGTTCTAATCACAGTCTCACCACTGGTAGTGTATCTCACCCACTTCACAGAAGGCATTGGTATGCCTGTTGCAGAGCATTTTATAACTGTTGTTGAAGAATGTAACTTGGCTGTTATATTCTTGGGTTTTATGTGAAGTAAGGTTTCAAACTTTCTGTAAATTAAAAATAATAATAATAATAATAATAATAATAATAATAACAATAATAATAATAATAATAAATAAATAAATAAACCAGCGGGCAAATCAGTGTGTGAAATACGTTCCAAAAATAACAGTTATGAAACTATTCTTCGTATGAATTTTTTTTTTCTGTTTGGGATAGCTGCATTATGATTCCCACGACATTGCGTTGTTGAATGGGTCACACTGCCATCTGGGGTTTCCCTGTAAGTCTTCTGAGATCAGGGACTTGGCTGCGTTAAAGCCCAGAAATTGGATTGTGGACAACAAGACGAAGTGGAAAGATTTCCCCACAACCTTGATATAATCCAACCAGCAATCTACTATTTTTTGCCACTGTTTTCTTTATCTGAGAACGATAAGCGTCATGAGCATGTAGCTGTGCAGAATTGCGGACACTTGGAAATCAAGATCGAGAAGGTCTGGTGACCTTCTCAATTACAGCTAAGAAAGTCTTCAAATATGTTGGAAAATTAATTACCCCAGCTTGTTTCACACTCCCCTTGCATCAATTTTTTTTTCAGTCTGACTTTAAACAATGTATGATAATTAAAACTAGCAAGATAATTGTTCAGGCTTTATGTTTGAAAACATTGCGATGCATGCACATGTAATTAACTCGAAGTTAAATGAAATTGAATAAATTTCATGGAACTCCAACAGAGCAAATCCAGTCAAGACGAATAAAAAAACAGCTCATAGCGGAGTTTTAATTAATTGGACGAGTAACCTGATTTCAGCTTAATCTAATACTTACGGGTCTGAACACTTGAAAACTTTGTCTGGAAGACAAAACACGTCATCAGTAACGTTAAGCTTATGTTCTTCCAAACAGAATCCATTTCCGCTCGCTCGATCAGCAAACAAAACGAATTCGATTCGCCCGGGTGAATAGGTTAAAAACCAACGTCTGAGAATTAGTCCTGCAAGAAACAATATTACACAGAGAGAAAGAAATTCATCATACAAGATCAGTAGTTTTTGAGAGCGCGAAAGGCATAACTCTGCTCTCTGACAAGTCTAATGTAAATAAGTGACGCAGTCCCGCGTACAAATTCGCTGCAAGTCATGCAAGAGATGTATAGATCAAAAGATAACATTACTAACAGCAACATTTAATAGCACGAGATACTACTCACTTGTCTTTCTTCCTACCGAGATGAATCAGCAGAACTAATAATCACAACTCCACCTGATTGATCCAAGCTGAAACTTGAACGAGCCGACTGTCATTACTATTTAAACGCCGCTTGACGTCATGTCGGGGGTGAGAGGGTGTGACATGGGATCGGTAACTTCCGTTGAGATGAACTTCCGGTCAACAAAAGATTATTACTTCCATCTTGTTTCAAAGACTGATCGACTAACATGGATTGAATTTAAGATCAATTTAGACTTGCGGATATCAACATTTAGTGTGGATGGGCAATTTAGGTTCAGATAGGCAAACACGAAATTGAAGAAGCGATTTAAAATGTTAATACGTGATTTCCGAATGCCTCTTGTCATAATGTAGACTCACATACAATATAGGAATATTGGTTTTATCGGTCATCTTCGCTCGACATGTACCATGTGTCTGCAAAGAAGCCAATTTATTATGTTGTCAAGTATCCTTGTTAACGGTTGGTGAGATCACGATCAAATCCTGCTGGTTTCATCTTTTTTAACCAGATTATTTTTAAGCCAAGTAAGACAATACAAATAATAAAAACGCAATAGCCAAGATGCGTTTTTAAGCGGATCTAACAAGCGGATTTCAAGGCATCGTGTTCGCGTTAATCTTGTTAACAGCGCTACGATAACTGCAGTCTTTAGTTAAACAAGAAGATCACGACGATTGTAAACCTATAAGAGGCTCAACAGCTGTCCGTGGCGATCAAGTAAAAATATGTTGTATCGATGTCGTGTTTAATGTTTTAAGTTCAGACCTATTCAAAACACCCCTAATCCTACCTTGCTGTGGAACATTACTTTTAGAATCCCCGTTTACTTGTGGTGGACTTTTATTTTCAGTGTTCGGCAATTCTATTCAAATGGCCAAATAATGTAGAAAATGGAACCGTCGCTCAAGAGAGAGGAAATTTTTTTCATGGTATATTTGCGTCATTGGTTAGTTTTTCCTGAAACTAGATATGAAAACTTGATAAAAACACTGAGATTATTTTTGTCTTTTGGCTTTATGTCAATGGAAAAAGGAAAGAATCTGCTGGAGGATTTCTGGAACGAGGAGTGTAGTTATTTTTGACGTAAGTTTGATCAAAAGTACAAGGAGGAGCAATGCAGTTACCACCTTGAATGACCTTGAAAACACCCTTCCGACTTTCATTCCCAAAAAGATCAGACCTATTGTTACCAAGCAGCATTTTTTCCCCTGTAACATCCGAAGAACCCTGTCATATCATATTAAAAGGGGAAATATGTCCCAGATAACCATGACATTCTTATCCTTACCATCAATAACAAATACAAGCAAAAATTTATCACTGCTTACGTTATGAGACTCTTCAGAGTAACCTAACCGTTGAGCAATTGTCCTTACATGTGGTCTAGTTTGACCAAGGGGGTTGAACAGGATGGTTTCAATGGGGGGATTATGGTTTTTACGACTAATGGCTAATTTCTAATGGTTTTACGGTTAACTTATTTCACGGCTAATGGTTATAATTGGTAAATTTTTATGCCTAAGGGATAAATAATTTTCCATCTTCTGGCTAACAGTGAACCCCATTGAGATCCTTGTACAGGTGCAACCTTACTTCGTGGTTCACAACCAACGTTATTGCTAGGAACTGTTATTTGGATCAGGAACGATTTTTTCTTAAAAAAAAATCGCCAAGAGATGTAAACGAGATAGACAATTCTTTTCTGTGACTTCTTGTTGCAGCGTTTAGATCACCCCTGATGAGGGCACTAGACAAGAGTGTCGAAACGTTGCGTCTGTGAATTGTAACTTCTTCGATTACATTCATTAAATCTTTAAACCAGAGTAGCATCAAACCATGTCTTCGTGTATTTACTTTTTACCTAAAATCCACAAACCTAATCAACTGGGTCGACCCATCGTTTCTACTCGGAGTTGTCCCACCGAACTTATTTCCAGCTACGTAGAAAAAAATTATGGACAGCCAATACGCGCTTGAAATTGTTTGTGACTTTAATTTCCTTAGCCAAAACAAACTTATTTTCACTATGGATATTACATCTTTTTATACTGTCATTCCCAACGACGAAGGTCTCCGGGCCCTCAAACATTTTTTTCGATAAACGCACTGTTACTGGGAACCTAGTTCTGAAACACTACTCCGTGTTGCCGAACTAGTACTTAATTTGCCTTTCATATGGTAGCAATTACTACAAACTAATGGCGTAGCCATGGGTACAAAAATTGGACCCAGCTATGCCAATCTTTCCGTAGGTTTCATCGCACATAAATTTTTTAGTCAATACCACGGCCCCAAACCTGAACTCCATGGCCGCTACACTAACGACTGCATCATCCAGATTTAATCCTTGGTTGCCCAAGGGCACTTGCGATTACTTGTTTATCACGTTAAGGGCAAATTCTTATGTTTTTTCATTCTGGTTAGGTGGATAAGTTTGGAAACCAAATGAAAATCGAGTTGAAAACCACATGTGCTTGGAAACAATTTCAAATACGTGGGTAAAATGTTTCTTAATCTGCATATTCATAAAGCAAGAAAATGATGAAACGACTTATTCCACACACAATCTGGTATAACTTTTTTAGGTGGGTATCTTTCCTTTGACGGTTTAGCAACTTCTTGGATAAACTTTGTCAGCCAATAATTAAGGCTTAAGGCAGCCATTTGAATTGACGGAACTTCCAATGACGGGAAATCGGGCTCTTCGCCAATTTTTAAAAATCCCAGTCACTCATTTGTTTATAAACTAGGTAGAATTCGGATTAGCGTTTGCCACACAAGTTTCCTAATCTTCACTAGGTTTTGGAAGTTTAAATCTGTACTCTGCCATCCGCATTGCGAATCGACACGCTTGCTAAGAAGTCACAAACAGCTAGGTAACAATATGACATTGAATGCAAATAAAATAATATCATAGACCAGCAAGCAGCAAGTAGGTGACAAGTTCAAAACTTCTTAAAATTATAATTTTCATTAATTTTCGTTGTTGTAGAAGTAATTTCAAAACCTCGTGCTTCGGGTTTCATCAGGTGTCCAAACGCTCTAAAACAAGAAAATCACTCGGTCTGCAGCCTCGTGGTTTCAAATGTTTTCGCGCGTTTGGAAACCCAATGAACGCCTCGCACTCGTTTTTGAAATAGAACGTAAATTACGGTGCTTAGCATGTTTACAAACCTTTGTTTGATTCTTCTGTTGCTAATTTCCGGCTCGCTTGTTCCGAAATTTCACTTTCAGTTAAAAGCTAGAGAGAAGTCCGGGAAATAGTACAATTTGGCAGATGGCGTGACAGCTTTGGCTCAGCTCTATGTTTTATACTCTGATAGAGCACGCTCTTTCAAAAAACAGCGCGCGCTACATCCGAACTTTATTACAATTGTTTTAATACAGATCGACACAGCCGCTAGTCATGATATAGTACGTTTGAATCACACCAATCAGTCTATGACTCAAACTGTTCCCACGGCTCGTGCTTTTCATCATAGTGTAAACATTCGAAACGGTTTACAATAGTGTTTGGTTTGAACCTGAACGCGTATTTCTATTTTCCTGTCCAACGATTCTTCCTATAAACTTTGAAACAAGGTAAAAATTCGAGTGTTAAAAGAAGGCCGGGGGCAGTTTCATTTTTAAATCCATGTTTTTCTTCCGCTTTTCTTCGGGGTTTTTTAGGGCATATTCGTCAATTATGAAATGAAGTAGCTTCTTTTTTTTTTTTTATCGATTACACCCCCACTCTGTGGAACCTGTATCTAGCGGTCACACCACCAATCCCCATAGGTGACCACTTCCTACAGGTTCGCCTGTAATCTAATCTTAAGTAAGCGCAAGAAACACAATTTTCTCCATGCCAGGAACTTTGACATTATAGCCCATTTTTAGTAACCAGTGGCCCTATCTCAATTTATCCTCCATTACATACTTGTCAGTGCCTTTCGTCACACCCACAAACCAAAGTTACATAGGAAGCAATTCATTTCATGCGAGAAGTGTATTACCGGTAACAAAACCTTTATTGGATGTAGTTCTATTTACATCGAGCGTTACGCTTCACTCCCATTGAACTAAAATATTTCAAGTACTTGGTAACCCTCATTGACTCAAAACCGAAATCTAAAACTTGAAAAAACATTTCAATAACTGTAACATTAACCTGAAAAGGCGAGAGAAAGTATTGCTTACATGCCTTAAGCCGCGTTCAAGACAAACTCTAACCATAAATTGATACAACGATCAAGATTGATTGGAAATACTTTGTTTCCAAGCATTTGGCAACTGTTTTGGTCTACACCAAAATCAAGGTTAAAATTGAAAACAATGAAACAGATTGACAAAATAACAAATACGCTTATGTTAATTATTTTAATACTTCTGCCCACCTTTAGGGAAAGTGCATCTTATATTTATATTTCTACACTTGAAGTTCAAAACCTGGTCTGTTATTTGTGCACTATAGCTCGAACAGGTTCTCGACTTGAGTCACTGGTAACCCCGGTATCAGTGATCTCATTACTCCTCAGATTTAGTGTGGTTAGCCTACCGCTTAGATGCTGTAAAGCTTCACATAGACTGGTAAGAGCGCTATCAGTGATCTCATTACCCCTCAGATTTAGTGTGGTTAGCTTACAGCTTGGATGCTGTAAAGCTTCACATAGACTAGCGACCCCGGTATCAGTAATCTCATTACCCCCCAGATTTAGTGTGGTAAGCTTACAGCTTGGATGCTGTAAAGCTTTACATAGACTGACAACCCCAGTATCAGTGATCTCATTACCCCTCAGATTTAGTGTGGTTAGCTTACAGCTTGGATGCTTTAAAGCTTCACAATGACTGGCAACCCCGGTATCAGTAATCTCATTACCCCCAAGATTTAGTGTGGTTAGCTTACAGCTTGGATGCTGTAAAGCTTCACATAGACTGGCAGCCCCGGTATCACTGATCTCATTACCCTCCAGATTTAGCGCGGTTAGCTTACAGCTTGGATGCTGTAAAGCTTCACATAGACTGGCAGCCCCGGTATCACTGATCTCATTAGCCCTTAGATTTAGAGTGGTTAGCTTACAGCTTGGACGCTGTAAAGTTTCACATAGACTGGCAACCCCAGTATCAGTGATCTCATTACCCTTCAGATTTAGTGTGGTTAGCTTACAGCTTTGATGCTGTAAAGCTTCACACAGACTGGCAACCCCAGTATCACTGATCTCATTAACCCCCAGATTTAGTGTGGTTAACTTACAGCTTTGATGCTGTAAGGCTTCAGATAGCATTGCAACCCTGGTAGCAGTGATCTCATTACCCATCAGATTTAGAGTGGTTAGCTTACAGCATGGATGCTGCAAAGCTTCACCCAGACTGGCAACCCCAGTATCACTGATCTCATTAGCCTCCAGAGTTAGCGTGGCTAGCTTACAGCTTGGATGCTGTAAAGCTTCAGATAACATTGCAACACTGGTGTCAGTGAACTCAATACCCTCCAGATTTAGTGTAGTTAGCTTACAGCTTGGATGCTGTAAAGCTTCACATAAACTGGCAACACCGGTATTAGTGATCTCAATTTGCTGCAGGCTTAGTGTGATTAACTTCCTCACTACTAATCGATTAATAACATTAACGCATTCATCAGTCAAGTCACTCGATAATAAGTTCAGTTCAGACACAAGACAGTGTCCATTGTTCAGTGAATTACAAAGTCGTTGTAATCCATACAGTGTTAGCTGTGAACGTTTAAGTTCTAACTTCTTAACTGTGACGAACTTATCAGCACATTTGTGTTGTGCCTCTCCAGCTTCCTCTCTATTTAGTTCAGTGACAGTGTCCAACACAAATGATGCTTCAATGCAGTTTACGTCTGATAAATTCTCTAACGCCAGGACGCCGTCAGAAATACAAAACGCTTGGGGATTATTCCTGATGAACTTCTTGGCGAATTCTTTGCTTTGATACTCATTCAGACATGTTATTTTAAGAGCGGATTCTATGAAGGGTGAATCTAATAATTTTACCATCAGTTCCACGTTTCCCTCCGTTTGCATTAAGCCCGCCATGAATTGGAAAACCATTTCAGAGCATTTCTCGTGTGGAACACGATTCTCCTTTACAAACCAACGAGCGGCTAAGAACTCTTGGAAGGTCTGGTGAAAAAAGCTTAAGTGCCTCGCGGTTGTAATCGATGCAGTCCTGAAAGACTGACCACAGTAAAGAAGACCGCTACGTTTCAGTTTGTCGACTTCTTCCGCTTCAAAATCGCCCTTCATCTCGCTTTCATCAAAGGTTGGCTTTCTCTCAAGCAGCAGTTTTGCCGCTAGTCTTGATAATTTCTCGAATGTCTCTGGGATGAAAGAAGGGGGCTTGAATTGCTCAGGAATTTCTTCCTGTCTGTATTCTGACTCTAAGGTGAACTTAAGTTCAAAGATGTCCATAAGTTTGGTGTAAATGTCGGTTGCTGACACAGGAAGGTCTTGAAGGTTTCCTGAATCGAGGATATACTCCATCTCGAAGCACAACACAAAGCAGAGGATAGGAATATGAGCAAACCTGACGAGGTGCTCATTGTTCATGACATGTTTAAGTACAGCGTTCTTCATATTTTCGTTTTTCTTGAAGTACTTCTCAATGAACTTTTCAACTTGTTCTGACGAAAATCCTGCAATTTCCACGTACCGTTTAAAACGAATTCCTCCCATCTTGTCCGATTCATCAGGTCGCGAGGTAACCATAACGATAGCTCCTCTCAATATTTTTCCTTTGATGAGCTTTGAACATAATGCGGCCACCGGCATTTCACATCTAGCGTCATTGAGATGCTCTTCTTCTAAGTTTCCAGCGATGTAGTCCTGCTGCGAATACTCATCATAACCATCGATGATAATCATAGCTTGCCTGGGATGCTTTACAATGTACTCAAATATAAAGTCATCCATGTTAGAATTGTCATCCTGGACCGAAGTACAGTTTAAGATTTCTCTTAAAGTCACAGGGTGGTTTCCAAACATGTTCAATTGACGGAAAGTAAGCAAGTATGCAAACTTTAAATCGAGGATTTCAGTGTTTCCTTTCGCGTGAAAAGCGTTAGCCCAATCGCGAATCAACTTTTGGCAAAACAGAGATTTCCCAATCCCAGCTTTTCCAACGACAAGAATAGAATTAGGATTCTCATGATCATCACTCATCTCAATAAATATCTTATCGCAATGCTCAACCGGAGTAGCGATGACCTTTCCGTAGTACTCAAGCTTTTCACTTCTTGTATTTGTTTTGTCATTCCTGACGAGGACTTTTCTTCCATGATGTACGAGAAGATTAATGAATATTTCATCTGTTTTCGCGTTGGAAATCACGCGAGAGGGAAGCAGTATATGCTGGAATTGCTGGAATTCCGTTTGGCCTAGAATAGATGATTTTAGGGCTGCAGTGTAGGCACTTACGGCTGAAAGAAAAGAGGAAAATTCTTTACAAATAATCTGAACACAAGGACAAGTAGCTTGCGTATCAGTTTGAATTGTAACTCCATGCTGTTTCCTTGTTTGGGGGACAGGGCAATGAATACACAAACTTTAAAGAGAAAACAGACCTTACGCTCTCGGTTTACTCTGATTAATGCAAAAAAAGTCGTACTAGCATCTATCGCATCCATTATTATCTGTTTGATGGCGTACTTTGTTCCGTAAACACATATCCACCAGCATTATTCGCCTTTCCAACAACAATTCTGGAACTGAAACTAAACACCTAGTCGGTTATGTTCTATTGTTCTAGTTTTTACATGTGTAAAAATCCTTTCAGACTGGCCTCTCTTTTTCATAAGGGCTCAATAATCCGATAATGAGGCAAAATTTTGGCGATGTTTATATCTACAGTTCTCAACCGCCAAAGTTTCGGACAAAAGGACTGTACATGGCTTAGAAAGAATGTTATCTTATGCGTAACATCTCGAAGAGAGTTATCGCTTCTGCCTGTCATCCTTAAAAGAAATTGATCAGCTTTCATGAAGGACTACGTACTACACGTAACTACAACCATATACCTCAAATCAAGTGCATATCATCCAGATTGCGATTGCTGTACCCTCTTTCAAGGGAATTTGAGCAATCCTAAATCTTCTGACGATACTGCTATACTTCTATGTCATTTACAACATGTTGAAGTAGGCTGATTTACACGAAAGTATCTAAACGTCGATCATTTGTCAATAAACGTGCATTATTACGATGGCGCGACGCTGTACTTCTCCATGAAGTTTCCAACGGTCGCACCAAAGAAGACTTGAACCAGACATTTTTCGATATTTCAGCAGATTTTTGGGTATTCTGGAGTACCGAACTCTCTCTAATTACGATAATTCGAACCATCTGCAAACTTTTAGACTTCCTTGTCTAAAAAGATATATTAAATTGCTTGAAAGATTTTTGAAAACAAAGGACGCAGACAGGAACGGGTAGATATTCCAGCTGTTGAAGCGAGTGACTACATAAGCCGATTTATCATCTCCGTTCATACTAAAAAATTACAATTAATTCGATTCGAGGCCAGCGTCAACAAGCGACACTTAAAAGAAAAAGGGCTATTCTATAATGATAATAAACGACTATGCATGCAAGAGTTAATTTTTGGATGGTTGGGTTGAAAAAGGACGTTAAGTATTTGATGCTTGCATTTTTGATAACCACACCACACCACCGCACCACAGTTTCTTTAAAATTTTACACCCTTTCCTTAAGTTTTCTGCCTCAGAACGAGAATACCTCAGAACGCATTTTACGCGACCGCAAGTTTTTTTGACTGATTGAAATTAAAGGTATGCAGAATGAATTCCACAAGTAGTCTAAGCACAAGACTATTATCGTCTGCTTCTGATCGATACCGCCGCCAATATTTACATACGATAGTTGAATTTAGTCACAGTTCTTGCTTTTCATCAGACAGTAAACAATCGAAGCGACTCACAGTATTGGTTTGCGCCTGAACTAGATAACATTTTGTTCACGTGGAAGTTGATATTTAAGGCAACGATGCTTAGTAACAACTGTAACAAAGCCTCTCCATCGTTTTATGCGCGATTACCACTCCAATCTGGTTTCGTGCTCGGGCAAGTTCGGGACGATTAACTGAGTGGGTGACTCATTCGCATATCGGAATTCCATTAACGACACGGTAGACCTTCGCCGGTCAAATTTTGCTAATTTTTGTTTTCACATCAAACAAGGCATTACAATTCTGTCTACAGTTTCCGAAAAACATTATTGTTAAATATTGAAACACACTCGGATTCCTTACAAAACGTTTTTCCGAACTGAATTCTTTGAGCCGCAAAAGCCAATTACGATGTGTCGACATAAATGACTCCTGTGATGTTATCCCCGCAGTACATCCGGGGTAGTATCAGTTGTCTAAACATCTCCGTATTTCAGTAACATGTGTTCATCATAGTAGTTCGTGAAATAATGGGTAGAGATAAAAAGGGAAAGAGTCCTTGGGGTTAAAGCTAGAAAAAAGGATTTCGATGAAGAATGGAGAAAAAATCCCGCTGAAACGGACAAGGGCTCGTAGTATGAGCGATCTTCGCTGCTCGCCCTCGAGCGACCATCGACAAGTTCCGCCTCTTGAACTTGTCGGCGCCGCCGAAACTTCCCTCTACCTTGAATTTCTTCTTCTTGCCGGCATTCTGAATTGAACGAAGCTCTGTTGGACACAACTGCAGCATAGTTTCAAAAGGCGTGAAATATTGGCAAAATTTTGGGAGCGAAAAAAAACCCTCTTCGTCTTTACGCGAGCGTGGCCTCTCTGAACAAATTGAATAGGGTATGGAACCTTTATGGATGGATTTAAAATTTGGTCCGAAGGCTCACAAGATACCAACCTAAAACATAGGCATGCTATGCATGCAAGAGTTATTTTTTTGAGGTGGGTGGATTAATTGAAACATTGTAAGTGATGTCTACATTTTTACAAAAGGAAAGAAGAGTTTTAACGCGGAAAAGAACGACAATGTCGAATTAACTCACACACAGGTATATTGTGGTAGATTGTGTGTGTTGTGCGAATAACTGTAACCAAAAATAAACTGTATTGGTACCACGGATACCTGTTAGTACGAAATGCAGACTGCAGAGTGGGTACAAAATGCAGACTGAGAATCTAAAGAGTTTTTCGTCTGGTATGTGATAACAAGTCATCTCACAACTTACCGAACGTCACGCAATCGCTTTTCCGCGATCAGCTCTCACGATTATTTGCACTATTGTGGAATATTCCTGGCCCGTTTCTTGATCAAAATCGATCTTAATATAATTTCAAGCCTTCATACAGTCTTCTCACTTAGCGCGCGAGTTGGTTGGTGTGATGTCTGTACATATTTTACCAACGTAATAAGAGATGTCGATGTAAATGAGATGTTACAATTGAATATTTAAGACGCACAAAAGTCGAAAAACAATTGACAGCTTTGCACGTGGTCCGTGTTATCATCTTTTTAAGCGGCATGTGTTTATTTTGTTGACAAAAATGCGGACCGAGACCAAAACTGTTCCTTCGACTCGATATATTTTCAACGTTACAAGATCACATCATATTAATTTACCTCCGTAAATCATTCATTCCGGATAACAAAATCAAATAACATGCTAGCGATAGTATCTGAATTCGTCCTAGGCCGAACACAAACGACTCCACAAGATCATTTCCTCCAGGCATCGATAACATACATAAAATCGTCCATAGTTAATTTTAATCAGACATTCATCTAGAGATAGCACCGGGCAAACAAATCCAGAGAAATATACTTGGCACACTCGACAAATCATGAATCTAGCAACACAGCTTACCGTTAAAGAACTGCTCAAATCAAAATGTTAGGTGCAATTCATCCACACATCAAGCAATAATTGATTAAAAAATTTTCCATTCACTCTCGTCGTGAAGGAACAATAACCATGATTGTACTACAGTGCACAGAACTTCAATTTCTCTCGAACAACTATCCACCATTTTCACGGCAGGAGTAACACGTTTACTATAGGTAATCTGATATCTTTCATCCGCCCAGTAGTATCGCATTCCTCATAGAGCGCGGTAAAATACACGTTAAAACACAGAAAAGCCAACATTTCTCATTCTGATGAATCCATTATATGAACTGCTCTCTCCGAATCCCCCATTACTTCGTTGAAATTTGAACATCTCTCAAACCGAAGAAAACGACGCTCTGATTGGTACGAGATACATACCCTAATGCGGCGATCTGATTGGTGCGACACGGATTTTTTCGATGTTTTAGCCGCCATAATCCAAGAAAGTTCCGATAAAAATACCTTGTATTGAGAGTCGTGAAGGCTTTACTGTTCATTCATCAATTTGACCGAGTGGCGCGAAAGGCGAGTGAAGTGTCAGCAGCTGATTGGCGATATAAAACACACGTGAATAAATATCTTATTTTTTCACGTGTGTTGTTACGGCTTTTCTCAGGGCTGAAAATCCTTGTATAAAACCGTAGTTTATATAATAAATCCATATTACATGAACATTCAGTCAGGTTGGTAACTTATGGAAGGAAATTCATTACTGCCAAATGAAAGTAATACATGAAGTTGGGTATATGGTCATGGGTTAAAGTTTCTTGTGTGTCACACCTGTCAAACTGGCAAAATCTGACTAACAGGGTCTGTTTGGTCTGCCCCACAGAGAAAAACTCAAAACCCAAAGAATAGAATCACAGGGTTCTCCCTAGTTTTCAGCACAACAGGTAAGGGACCTTTTCAAACCAGTAAAGCACATTTGCAGCTTCAGGCGGCTGGTCATTCTCAACTTTGTCAACGATACACCTTTAGGTTCAGAGGTTGAACAAAACAAAGTAAAATTTTGTTTAAAACCATTATATTTGACTATGCCCTTTCCAAACTGCTTACAACGTAAATTGGTCTCCCTTCGATTTCGGGTGATATCTTTAGCATCACTTACATGGCTTATCAGCGGTGTCAGCTACGAATCGCATCGCTATGAAATCGAATCACATGGAATAGCTGAATTCGTGTTCTAATCGTCTCAAATTCAGAGCTTTTACGCTGTCAAGAGATTTTATTTTCAAGGCTTCTTTCGAACCGTTGTCTGAAACACAAGTAGAATTTCACGATGAAGACTAGCTTTGTCCCCATGTGTTCGTTCTACAGCCGGCAATTGTAGAGCTGTCAAGGTGGTTATTTCTGGCAATCGGCTGCTTTTCCGTCGCTAGTAGGTAAGCTTTATTTTGTTTTCCCCTAAAATTCTTGTAAAGCTTACAAGCCACTCTTCGTGACCTCTTGTTACTGGAGAGAAACGATAGCATTGTTTGCTGCCGTTTCAACGCGAAAACTGAACTACTAAACGACACCACATTTCAACGTGCAGAGAACTGACAAATGTCATGAGATTTGGCAGAAAGCCCACGAAAAATCACTCTTGCTTCGAAATTCGAAAGGTACCAGTCAGTGTTAGCTAACTAAAGCACACGTAGATTTATAATAGTGCACACTGTTGGCTTGTTATTACACTTTCTTTCCAGATTAGCTCACCATAAATGCGTATTTTGTAAGGATTCTGAGCGTTCGCAGGCGGTAATAAGTGCCCTTACAAGCGGTAAATTTTACCGGTTACCGCCTGATAAGGAGAACCCTGATAGAAGCGGCAAGAATGAAAGAATCTCAAAGCCTGATGCATTCCACGATACACTGATCATTAAATTATTAAGCTGTGAGCACAAATTGTAACCAACCTAAAAATTGGCATTAAGTAGTTCATTCGGCTTGAGTGAATGGGTAACATTTTACGCGAGATTTTGCTTGTTTCATCGTTCTGTTGTCTCCTAAGCAAATGAATAGTACCCATTAAATTAATTATTCTTATCAACCTTTGTGTTAAAAGTTGAAAGTTGCTCGAAAGACTTGTAAGAGATTACGAGGTATTTTAAATGTAGGTGTCACTTTTTGAGTTTGCTCGAAAGCTTCCAAAAAGTCATGGAAAGATGGTAAACATCCAACACTGCAGAATAATAGACGCTTTCCACAAGCAGTCTAAAAAAACACTACAAGGTAATATCTCGTTTGTAGTAAATCTCCGTATGCAAATTTTTTCTAGCTGCAAAAACTTACTAGTTAACACTATCACTCGTAAAAACATGTTTAACTTAATCTTACCTGGTGCGTGTGATTCACTGGTATCTAAATGAAATAATTAACAAATATAGTGTTACGAAATTGAACCATTTTCGTTGCCAAAGCAATAACAGAGTTGATTAATTTAATTAAGATATAATAGGACAAATTTCTAAATCCAAACATGGAGCAAAACAATATGAAAGTGTGCAAGCATGTACCTCTACTCGCCTAACTCTGAACAGTTTCAAAATCAAAATTTATGCAAAAATACATAAATATATTTCTGGGAAGTTTGAGACGTGTTTGACAAATGAATTTCATGTGTTGTAAATTAGCCAAGGGATATACATCAACTCACTTAATAAGTGAGCGCAGCAATATGATAAAAATCAATAGTACAGATAAACACATACAGGAACTCTGCAAGCATATGGAAATAGGCATAGCTGAAAATAACTTAAACAGAAAATAAACTATTGTCCTTTATTGATCCCGCTGCCATTGATGCTACAAAGTTATAAATAAAGTGGCAATAGAAACAGATTTTCCTTGTGTTTCTACTTTTTCTGAAAAGACAGAAGGGGGGAGCTTATTCAAAGGAGGTGCTTATTAAAGAGTGGGTGCTTATTCAAGGAATTATGTTAAGTCATCTTGATTTGTGTGTGATATGAGCAGGAATACATGTAGACAGATCAAAATCAGATCTGTTCCTGTATAAAGAAAAGATAGATTGATACAGGAAGCAATACCTGCATTAAAGTGAGTCCAATCTTGGAAAATGCCTGAATCATTCAAAATGTTGGCCACAACAGATGCTGCCATCACACAGGCAATTTGTTTCCATTTCTTACTTGAAGACTGCGTTTCACCTACAAGGTCTTTGATGCCCTTGACTACCACCCATTCTGTCTTAAAATCATGGGCTGCTGCTGCATACACTCCTGAAGAAAAAAAGGGAAAAAAACGCTCATGTCCTACCTATATTGAGCTTATTTTTTAGCATCCTTAATATAATTCTTCAATAAAAGCCCACAAACATTTACACTCTAGCTGTTTGTAAATATGCACATCACAAAAAGACGTTAGTACCGAAATCTAGTTTTATTCAACAAGTAATTAAATAAAAATTGTACACTGAGACTGTAAAATTATTTTTCAGGCTTCATCTTGTTTCATAAGTAGCTTTTAACATTCTCAAAAGACAAACTTTTGTCAGTTAGAGTTGACAAGGACTGTGATAAAGTAAAAACCCGCATAAAAGAACACATGTTTTGGGGGTTCAGGCTGATTTTGTTCTTATTTATCAGGTTTTTCTGCAAAATCAGCCTGAAAATGTTAGGGTGTTCCTAAAATTGTTTCTAAAAATTAAATACTGCATAGACTACCAACAGATCTGAAACATATAAGCACAAAATTTTAATTAAGTAATGGGTGTAACTAACCTTAACTGCATTAGTCATGGCAATAATATTACATTGGGGGAGGGGTAGCAGTTCTGGTGATGAACAACTCAAAACTCAGGAAAAGTCGAGCAAATTCAGAATGCACCAACTCCTCCTCCCTGTTTCCAACACTGTACCCTAGTACTGTACCTAAGTAGGTTATTCTAATCTAGCTAGCAACCAATTTTTCTAAATACATGAACAATTTTCATTTTTCAGGCTAAATGAATTCTTATGTATAAGGTACTTTTTTGACCAAATTTCAGTAGGACTGTTCTTAGTCCACTTGATCTTTTATGCCAGTTTTCACTGTACTATTTTTCAACTCTCAAACGATTAAACAACATACTTTCAACATTTTTCAGATAAAAAATTAAAGATAATCCATGACATCCTGGTGAAGCACATTCAATTTAGTTATCCAGTAGACATGTTAGTCACCTTCACCTGCAAAAAAGTCTTGCTACCCCAGCCAAACATAAAATCACTAAGAATACACAATATGAAATTCCCGCAAATTTAGCATGTTATATGGTCTGTCCTATTTCTTGGACCAGCAAAGACAATACCAAAGCAGTGTTTTTCAAAACACTTCCTTTAAGTGCAAAATTCTTGGCTCATCAATTATTTGAATTATTATGATTCTCACCTCCACCTTCCATTTCAACTGCAATTGCTTCAGGATGTTTCCTAATCATATCTCTGTTTGCCTCTGAGATACTCAGAACCACTCCATCACAATGCACTTTGGCATTATATTCATCAGCATTTAGTAAAGGTGCCTTCCACCCATCAGCCATATGTTTGATCAGGTTTCCAATATCTCTGCTGGGGGGAGTTTTTTGTGCAGCTGTTATAAGCTTTGCTGAAACAACCACATCTCCTAACTTGACCTTTTTGTTGTTCAAACCACTACAGGCACCAACAGAAAAAATAGCCTTAGGTCTCAGTAGCAAAATGGGATCTTTTGAAATGGACAAAGAACCCCCAGGAACATCAGGACCTTTGGAGCACCTCATCAATGCGATTTTCATTTTCTTTCCTTGATCATCACCCATGCACCCAAAATACACAGGGCCAGTACTGATGTGGTAACTCTTAAAGGGTTTCTTCAGGTAGGTAAAGCAGCTTAAGAACTCACAGTCCTCAACTGTTAATAATAGAATATCAACTGGCCGTTCAACAATTTCCCAGGGACAAGAGATTGCTGGAAGATCCCACAACTCTGGAAGTTTCACACTGAGCTCTGGTGGGCTGCTATTGCCAGTCTGTGCTGATCCATTTTTTGCTGGCATTAATACTGTCCCTGAAAAAGAAGGTTGTTTTTTTTTTTTTTTTTTTTTCCAGGGCTGGAAATCCTTGTATAAAACCGTAGTTTATATAATAAATCCATATTACATGAACATTCAGTCAGGTTGGTAACTTATGGAAGGAAATTCATTACTGCCAAATGAAAGTAATACATGAAGTTGGGTATATGGTCATGGGTTAAAGTTTCTTGTGTGTCACACCTGTCAAACTGGCAAAATCTGACTAACAGGGTCTGTTTGGTCTGCCCCACAGAGAAAAACTCAAAACCCAAAGAATAGAATCACAGGGTTCTCCCTAGTTTTCAGCACAACAGGTAAGGGACCTTTTCAAACCAGTAAAGCACATTTGCAGCTTCAGGCGGCTGGTCATTCTCAACTTTGTCAACGATACACCTTTAGGTTCAGAGGTTGAACAAAACAAAGTAAAATTTTGTTTAAAACCATTATATTTGACTATGCCCTTTCCAAACTGCTTACAACGTAAATTGGTCTCCCTTCGATTTCGGGTGATATCTTTAGCATCACTTACATGGCTTATCAGCGGTGTCAGCTACGAATCGCATCGCTATGAAATCGAATCACATGGAATAGCTGAATTCGTGTTCTAATCGTCTCAAATTCAGAGCTTTTATGCTGTCAAGAGATTTTATTTTCAAGGCTTCTTTTGAACCGTTGTCTGAAACACAAGTAGAATTTCACGATGAAGACTAGCTTTGTCCCCATGTGTTCGTTCTACAGCCGGCAATTGTAGAGCTGTCAAGGTGGTTATTTCTGGCAATCGGCTGCTTTTCCGTCGCTAGTAGGTAAGCTTTATTTTGTTTTCCCCTAAAATTCTTGTAAAGCTTACAAGCCACTCTTCGTGACCTCTTGTTACTGGAGAGAAACGATAGCATTGTTTGCTGCCGTTTCAACGCGAAAACTGAACTACTAAACGACACCACATTTCAACGTGCAGAGAACTGACAAATGTCATGAGATTTGGCAGAAAGCCCACGAAAAATCACTCTTGCTTCGAAATTCGAAAGGTACCAGTCAGTGTTAGCTAACTAAAGCACACGTAGATTTATAATAGTGCACACTGTTGGCTTGTTATTACACTTTCTTTCCAGATTAGCTCACCATAAATGCGTATTTTGTAAGGGTTCTGAGTGTTTGCAGGCGGTAATAAGTGCTCTTACAAGCGGTAAATTTTACCGGTTACCGCCTGATAAGGAGAACCCTGATAGAAGCGGCAAGAAGGAAAGAATCTCAAAGCCTGATGCATTCCACGATACACTGATCATTAAATTATTAAGCTGTGAGCACAAATTGTAACCAACCTAAAAATTGGCATTAAGTAGTTCATTCGGCTTGAGTGAATGGGTAACATTTTACGCGCAATTTTGCTTGTTTCATCGTTCTGTTGTCTCCTAAGCAATTGAATAGTACCCATTAAATTAATTATTCTTATCAACCTTTGTGTTAAAAGTTGAAAGTTGCTCGAAAGACTTGTAAGAGATTACGAGGTATTTTAAATGTAGGTGTCACTTTTTGAGTTTGCTCGAAAGCTTCCAAAAAGTCATGGAAAGATGGTAACCATCCAACACTGCAGAATAATAGACGCTTTCCACAAGCAGTCTAAAAGAAAAATACATGGTAATATCTCGTGTGTAGCAAATCTCCGTATGCAAATTTTTTCTAGCTGCAAAAACTTACTAGTTAACACTATCACTCATAAAAACATGTTTAACTTAATCTTACCTGGTGCGTATGATTCACTGGTATCTAAATGAAATAATTAACAAATATAGTGTTACTAAATTGAACCATTTTCGTTGCCAAAGCAATAACAGAGTTGATTAATTTAATGAAGATATAATAGGACAAATTTCTAAATCCAAACATGGAGCAAAACAGTATGAAAGTGTGCAAGCATGTACCTCTACTCGCCTAACTCTGAACAGTTTCAAAATCAAAATTTATGCAAAAATACATAAATATATTTCTGGGAAGTTTGAGACGTGTTTGACAAATGAATTTCATGTGTTGTAAATTAGCCAAGGGATATACATCAACTCACTTAATAAGTGAGCGCATCAATATGATAAAAATCAATAGTACAGATAAACACATACAGGAACTCTGCAAGCATATGGAAATAGGTATAGCTGAAAGTAACTTAAACAGAAAATAAACTATTGTCCTATATTGATCCCGCTGCCATTGATGCTACAAAATTATAAATAAAGTGGCAATAGAAACAGATTTTCCTTGTGTTTCTACTTTTTCTGAAAAGACAGAAGGAAGGGGGGAGCTTATTCAAAGGAGGTGCTTATTAAAGAGTGGGTGCTTATTCAAGGAATTATGTTAAGTCATCTTGATTTGTGTGTGATATGAGCAGGAATACATGTAGACAGATCAAAATCAGATCTGTTCCTGTATAAAGAAAAGATAGATTGATACAGGAAGCAATACCTGCATTAAAGTGAGTCCAATCTTGGAAAATGACTGAATCATTCAAAATGTTGGCCACAACAGATGCTGCCATCACACAGGCAATTTGTTTCCATTTCTTACTTGAAGACTGCGTTTCATCTAAAAGGTCTTTGATGCCCTTGACTACCACCCATTCTGTCTTAAAATCATGGGCTGCTGCATACACTCCTGAAGAAAAAAAGGGGAAAAAACACTCATGTCTTACCTATATTGAGCTTATTTTTTAGCATCCTTAATATAATTCTTCAATAAAAGCCCACAAACATTTACACTCTAGCTGTTTGTAAACATGCACATCACAAAAAGACGTTAGTACCGAAATCTAGTTTTATTCAACAAGTAATTAAATAAAAATTGTACACTGAGACTGTAAAATTATTTTTCAGGCTTCATCTTGTTTCATAAGTAACTTTTAACATTTCTCAAAAGAAAAACTTTTGTCAGTTGGAGTTGACAAGGACTGTGATACAGTAAAAACCCACATAAAAGAACACATGTTTTGGGGGTTCAGGCTGATTTTGTTCTTATTTATCTGGTTTTTCTGCAAAATCAGCCTGAAAATGTTAGGGTGTTCCTAAAATTGTTTCTAAAAATTAAATACTACATAGACTACCAACAGATCTGAAACATATAAGCACAAAATTTTAATTAAGTAATGGATGTAACTAACCTTAACTGCATTAGTCATGGCAATAATATTACATTGGGGGAGGGGTAGCAGTTCTGGTGATAAACAACTCAAAACTCAGGAAAAGTCGAGCAAATTCAGAATGCACCAACTCCTCCTCCCTGTTTCCAACACTGTACCCTAGTACTGTACCTAAGTAGGTTATTCTAATCTAGCTAGCAGCCAATTTTTTTAAATACATGAACAATTTTCATTTTTCAGGCTAAATGTGTTCTTATGTATAAGGTACTTTTTTGACCAAATTTCAGTAGGACTGTTCTTAGTCCACTTGATCTTTTATGCCAGTTTTCACTGTACTATTTTTCAACTCTCAAACGATTAAACAACATACTTTCAACATTTTTCAGATAAAAAATTAAAGATAATCCATGACATTCTGGTGGAGCACATTCAATTTAGTTATCCAGTAGACATGTTAGTCACCTTCACTTGCAAAAAAGTCTTGCTACCCCAGCCAAACATAAAATCACTAAGAATACACAATATATAATTCCTGCAAATTTAGCATGTTATATGGTCTGTCCTATTTATTGGACCAGCAAAGACAATACCAAAGCAGTGTTTTTCAAAACACTTCCTTTAAGTGCAAAATTCTTGGCTCATCAATTATTTGAATTATTATGATTTTCACCTCCACCTTCCATTTCAACTGCAATTGCTTCAGGATGTTTCCTAATCATATCTCTGTTTGCCTCTGAGATACTCAGAACCACTCCATCACAATGCACTTTGGGATTATATTCATCAGCATTAAGTAAAGGTGCCTTCCACCCATCAGCCACATGTTTGATCAGGTTTCCAATATCTCTGCTGGGGGGAGTTTTGTGTGCAGCTGTTATAAGCTTTGCTGAAACAACCACATCTCCTAACTTGACCTTTTTGTTGTTCAAACCACTACAGGCACCAACAGAAAAAATAGCCTTAGGTCTCAGTAGCAAAATGGGATCTTTTGAAATGGACAAAGAACCCCCAGGAACATCAGGACCTTTGGAGCACCTCATCAATGCGATTTTCATTTTCTTTCCTTGATCATCACCCATGCACCCAAAATACACAAAGCCAGTACTGATGTGGTAACTCTTAAAGGGTTTCTTCAGGTAGGCAAAGCAGCTTAAGAACTCACAGTCCTCAACTGTTAATAATACAATATCAACTGGCAGTTCAACAATTTCCCAGGGACAAAAGACTGTTGGAAGATTGCTCAACTCTGGAAGTTCCACACTGAGCTCTGGTGGGCTGCTATTGCCAGTCTGTGCTGATCCATTTTTTGCTGGCATTAATACTGTCCCTGAAAAAGAAGGTTGTAGTTTTTTTTTCTTTTTTTTTTTTTAAGACATTTGTATGTGACAATTAATTAGCTTACCCAAATGGAAATCAAAAAATAAGAAAGATGAAGAAGAAAAATAGTAAACTATGGATACAGTTGACATATTAAGGGAATAAATATTCACAACTTCAGATATGCATAATTGTGACTCCTGAAAAAAGATCCACAGGAAATTCATTTCATCAGATGATCCAGTATGACTTACATTATTGACTCTACAAAGTTAATTTAAAACTCAGCTTTAACAAAAAATTACCTCTCTCCCATGAACTTTGTTCAGCAACATCAAAGGAATCCTCCTTGTCTCCTTCCTTCCTGGCCATTTTCACAATATTGTCTTGATGCAATTTGTCTGTGATGCAGTCATCATCTTTCAACCACTCTCTCAGAAGCTCTTGGTAGTATTCTTCAAGATCAGCATCCATACAATCGAGTGTAAGATCATCTATGACTTCCTCATAGCAGGTCCCTCCAATACGCAGAAAGGTGTCTTTGATGTTGTTCCAGTAAAATTTAAAAGTTGGATCATCAACTGAAGCATTAGCAGCATGACTGAAAACTCTGTCCCTCAAAAACTTGATGCGAGTGATGTCAGCTTCTGGAGAAGTGTCTGATTGTGGAGGAAGGTTATTACAGCCAGAGGCAGGGAGAGTCAGACCAAAGATATTCCTCAGAAGAAGTAGCAGTAGGGAGATGTCAAAGTTCCCTGATGAAACTGATAATTTGACAACAGAATACAGTTTTCCCCACTGGGAGGTACTCAGGACTCTTTTCTTTCGAAGTGTTTGTAACTTGGCACGGTTTAAGGGATTAGTCAGAACTGCATGAAGGTTTTCTGGTGGACATATCCTGTCAAAGACCTCCCTTAACACAATCGATCCAACTTCAACAAGAAGGCGACACAGGTTGGCATAATTTGAGGTTTCTTTGGTACAAGGATATGATGATGTAACAGACGACATGTCTCCTATGAAAAAATGCTTATAATTATTACAGGCAATTCAATACAACATTGCTTTAGGCAATAGAAAAAATCAATAGCAAGAACAAAAAGCCCTTGGAAATGAATTTAATGCCTTTTTTCCTTGTGTACGATTGTAATAACATTCCTTTACACATGTCCTTTGTACTGAGAAGCTATCCATTGCCTGAACAATTCCATTTCAAACCCATGGACTCCCACAAGGCAGTAACCTTTGCCCAGTACTGTAGAGAATACATGTATTTGTGAATGACCTCTCCATGATAGTCAAGAATTGTTATTCTGTATGCTTCTGTAAGCTACATTCACCTACAACAAGAAGCCACTTGAATCATTCTGTAATTTAATTGCTACTGGAGGAATTTCACTCTGATAGGAATGAGGAAATGAATGAAATAATTTCCAGTTCAGGCTGTTTGAGACAACAGATACACTCTCTTGCAGTTTCTCTGAGTTCACTACGAATGCAGTCAATCAGTTCACACTCTAAATTCCCCTTCTAGAATTTTCTCCTGTTAAAAACCAAAATTCTTTTCAGAAGAATCATTTCATTGCAATTCTTTCATGGAGAATCAAGGTTCTTGAAATAAGACTGAATAGAAGAGAATTCTTGTGTTAAGAATGCAATTCACCTGAATACCTTGAGAAGAATCTCTACTTCAGAAACTCTAGCCACAAGAACTGGGAATTCTTTTCTCAAGAACGAGAATAGCAAGCAAAGAAGTAGGAAAGAATGTTTAGTTGCAAATCTAATGGATAGAATTGCAATTTCAGAAACTCTCGCTATAAGAATCGGAAATTCTTTTCTCAAAAATGAGAATTCTTTCTGGCAGGTAATGAAGCAGAAAGTTCTTCAGGAGAGAATGTTTTACTGCAATTCTTACAAACAGAGAGAGAGATTTCAGTGGCTAATACTGCCTTCCGTTCCAAGGCTAACTTGTACGTTAGGAGGGCATTCAAATCTGGGTACATAGAGAGTGATTCAATACTGTCAGGTGGGTTCTTGTTGCAATAATTTAGTGTCAACAAATCGACAGAAGCTTGTATTAGTTAAATGAGGTCCAAGAAACTGAATCCTGCTTGATCTGACTTAACCTTCCTTGGAAAAATGCTTTTAACAAAGCTATTAGAAGGAAGTTTTCTTCAGGAACTGATTGAACCCTGTTCATTCTCTACTGATTGCAGGACTGACAAATTTAATTTCTGTTGCAGAGCTTGAGAAGGGATCATAGGAAAGGACTAGGGGTTGCAATTGGCATGCTATTAATTCATTGATGTACAACAACTACCTTGTTGCATATTGTAAAAGTAATGAATGGTATGGGGTATGATCAGGGAATGATATATGTAACTAATATACAAAGAATGAGATATGTAGATAAACATTGAAAGTTGTCAATAATACAGTGAATGTTGATATAGTTGTTCATTGATAATTTGATGTATACATCATGTTGTTGTGAATACGCAAGTTAACTGTATTTAATGTGAATTGCATTTTGAAATATAGATAAAAAAAATGGGGTATGATTTAAAAGTGATATGATATTATTAAAAGATACAAAATTAAGATGATAAACAGTGAATGTTTTTGATACAGTGAATGTTGATATACTGTAGTTGTTCACTGATAACTTGATGCATACATTATAAATATGTGAGTTAGTTTTATGTCATGTTGATTGTATGTTAAAAATAAAACCAAATAAAATGAGATTTTTTCCAGTGTAATTTGCTGTGTTAAAAGAAAATCAATCCTTTCAATAACTTAACAAAACCCAGTAAAGGCAAAAGATTCTTCTCAATAGAATATTCAGACCTTAGAAGACCACAAAGACTTTAGCAGCAAGAATGCTTTTGAATGTGATTCTTTACACAAGCAAAGTCAATCTCTTGCGAAGAAAGATCAATCTAAAAAAGAATATTCATTCTTGGGTGAAGGACAAAAACTCTCATAAGGAGACTCAGAAACTGACATTCTTCCCAAACAAATGTTGTGTCTTCAGGGAAAAGTAGTAATTCTTCTGATAAGCTTGCTTAAAAATGAGATTCTGCTTAAATGGAAATCATCTTGGGAGGAGAGCAGTATTTCCTCTCAGAAGAATACCTTATTAACTGGTTCTTGGCAAAATAATTTTGTTCTTGCAGGAAAAACTAGTATTCTTCTCACAAGAATCACACATGTGAGATTTTTCTCATAAAAATTCTTAACCTTGGGAGAAGACCCACAATTCTTCCCTTAAATGGATATCATATTAAGAGGAAAACAGTGTTTCTTTTCAGAAGAATACCCCATTTACTGGTTCTTGGTAAAAGGATTTTGTTCTTGAGGGAAAAAACCTAGCATTCCTCTAACAAGAATCAGACACACACGAGATTTCTCTTACATGAATTCTTAACCTTAGGAGAATTCTTTCTTCAAGAACCAGATTTATTCTCCTTAGAATTATAATTCTCCTCTGGGGACGAAAAATCTAAAATGATAAATTCTTCTCTAAAGAGACATAAATCTTTCAGAAAGAATTTAATTTCTGTTCAAAAGCATTTAACTTAAGCGTCATTTAGAGTGTCAAACTGCTAAGTCTTTCAGACGCATCGTTACCATCAACATTGGACGCCCGGTTCCTATCGGGAACACGCACGTTCTAGCTCGAAGCGATGCGGCCTTACTGCAGCCATGTTTATTTCCCATCAAGGTTAACTCCCTAGCGGTGTTATTGCTCGATTTACGAGATAGGATTTCACATGGTTAGGAAGCGTTTTGGAAGCTGAAACTTTGGTGAGTATTCTGTCCTTGTAGCCAAATTTGGAGAGATGGTAAGGAATAAGTAAACAAACATCAAAAGCAAGCGGATGTAGAGATATCAAGTATAACTGTGAGCACAAATTCGCGAGTGATTCGAAAATGTACGTTCGCCTCCGCTTGATCTCCTCAGCCAGATTAAACAATTTGGCTCTAAAGACACATTTCCCTCGCTATTATTTACAGGAATCAAGTTGAAAAACATATAGTAAATGGATGCCTTACCTTGGCAAGAATCATCAAAAGCAAGCGGATGTAGAGATATCAAGTATAACTGTGAGCACAAATTCGCGAGTGATTCGAAAATGTACGTTCGCCTCCGCTTGATCTCCTCAGCCAGATTAAACAATTTGGCTCTAAAGACACATTTCCCTCGCTATTATTTACAGGAATCAAGTTGAAAAACATATAGTAAATGGATGCCTTACCTTGGCAAGAATCGTCCGCTCAGAAACGTTAGATAAATCTTTAGAGGAAAAAATCAACCACGGGTAAATTCAACTAAGCTAAATGGGTCTTGTAATTCGTTATATGGAAGGGTGTCCTCCATTTTGGGGCAGGGGCATACTGTTGCGCATGTTCTGTAAATTTTTGTTTGATACGAGAAACCGCTGGTATGCGCCTGCGTCGGTTTCCCAAAATACGTCGGAAAAAACAATGGTTCGAGTATTTGAGACAACCTTTCTTCTCATTTCTTCTTCTGTAACTTAGATGGAGGCGGCAAAGTCTTAAAATTAGTGTGTGATGTGTGGAAGGAAGTTATTTTCAAAATGTGAAAGATTGTACAAACAACTTCGAGTCTTATCTTGTGATTGTTTGAGCAATCGATGTAGATGATGTTATTTTTGAAGGATGCAATTGGCCTGTCGAAGAGCACAAACCAATTGGATAGTATACTTTTTTCGTGTCATTGCTACCTCAAGTTATCGGTGATCATTTGAATCACTCGCTTTCCTGTAAGCGTTTTTTAGAGCTTCAACTGTACTGGTAGTGCAGTGTGCTTCCAATATTGGCAAAAATTTAAAGTTTACAGAAGTTTATGTTTTGTTTCAAAAGTTTTTTTTCGACATGAATCACAACCGGCAGGACCGATTACCAAAATAAAAAAGGTCAATGTCGAGTAAAGAAAAGTAAGACAATGCAAATGCTAGAGATATGGTAGCTC